TTTGATCACGGACCCTAACAATACATTATTACATCAATAAGAGAAAGGATAAAAATCATATGATCATTTCAATAGATGCAGAAAAAGCTTCTGACAAACTACAACATCCATTCATGATTTAAAAAATCCTTAACAAAAGAGGTTTAGAGAGAACATACTTTCAATACAATAAAAGCCATTTTTAAAAAGATTTTATTTATTTATTTATTTATTTGACACAGAGAGAGAGTGAGAGAGCGCACACAAGCAGAGGGAGAGGCAGAGGGAAAGGGAGAAGCAGGCTCCCCACTGAGCAGGAAGTCTGATGTGGGGCTTAATCCCAGGACCTGGGATCGTGACCCGCTTGGAGGCAGCCACTTAACCAACTGAGCCACCCAACTGCCCGCATAAAGGCTATTTATGAAAAACCCACAGCTAACATCATCTACAATGGGGAAGAACTGTGCGCTTTTCCCCTATGATCAGGAGCAAGACAGGGATGTCCGCTCTCACCACTTTTATTCAATATAGTACTAAAAATACTAGCCACAGAAACAATACAACAAAAAGAAATAAAAGGCATCCAAACTGGTAAGGAAGAAGTAGAACTTCCACTGTCTGTAGCTGACATGATTCTATGTATAGAAAACCCAAACTACTCCACCAAAAAACTGCTAGAACTAATAAATGAATTCAGCAAAGTGGCAAGGTACAAAATTAACGTACAGAAATCCGTTTTCCTATATAGCAATAATGAACCAGCAGAGAGTGAAATTATGAAAACAATCCCATTTATAATTGTACCAAAAACAATAAGATATAAAGGAATAAACTTAATCAAAGCAGTGAAAGACCTGTATTCTGAAAACTATAAAACACTGATGAAAGAAATGGAAAATACAAACCAATGGAAAATCATTCCAAGCTTACAGAAGAACAAATATTGTTAAAATGTCCACAATACCCCAAACAATGTATACATTTAATGTAATCTCTGTCAAAATACTAATAACATCATTTGTCCCAGAACTATAACAATCCTAAAATTTATATGGAAACCCAAAAGACCCCGAATAGCCAAAGCAATCTTGAAAAAGAAAAACAAAGCTGGAGTCATCACAATTTCAGACTTCAAGTTATATTACAAAGGTATAGTAATCAAAACAGTATGGTACTAGTACAAAAATAGACATATAGGTCAATGGACCAGAACAGAAAACCCAGAAGTAAACCCATCATTTTTTTTAATTGTGTGTTTTTCTTTCTCTCTCTCTCTTTTTTTAAGATTTTATTCATTTATTTGAGAGCGCGCGAAAGTAAGTACAAGTACAGAAACAGGCAGAGGGAGAAGGAGAAGCAGGCTCCATGCTGAGCAGGGATCCTGATGTGGGGCTCAGTCAGAAAACCCTGGGATCATGACCTGACCTGAAGGCAGCCACTTAACCGACTGAGTCACCCAGGTGCCCCAATAAACCCACAATTATATCGCCAATTAATCTCTGACAAAGCAGGAAAGAATATCCAATGGGAAAGACAATCTCTTCAACAAATGATGTTGGGAAAATTGGACAGCAATATACAAAAGAAAGAAACTAAACCACTTTCTTACACCATACGCAGAAATAAATTCCAAATGGATTAAAGACCTAAACATGAGACCTGAAACCATAAAAATTCTGGACCAGAACACAGGCAGTAATAATTTTGACATTGGCCTTACCAGCTTTTTTCTAGATAGGTTCCCTGAGGCAAGGGAAACAAAAGCAAAAATAAACCACTGGGAATACATTAAAATAAGAAACTTCTGCACTGTGGAGGAAGCAATCAACAAAACTAACAGGCAACCTACTGAATGGGAGAAGATATCTGTAAATGACATATCTGATAAAGGGCTAGAATCCAAAATATATAAAGAACTTACACAATTCAACACCCCCCCAAAAAAAATCCAGTTAAAAAATGGGCTGCAGGGCACCTGGGTGGCTCAGTGGGTTAAGCCTCTGCCTTCAGCTCAGGTCATGATCTCAGGGTCCTGGGATCAAGTCCCACGTCGGGCTCTCTGCTCAGCAGGGAGCCTGCTTCCCCCTCTCTCTCTGCCTACCTCTCTGCCTACTTGTGATCCCTCTCTGTCTGTCAAATAAATAAATAAAATCTTAAAAAGAAAATGGGCTGCAGACATGAAGACATTCTTCCAAAAAAGACATATAGATGATCAACCTTCACATGAAAAGATGCTCATCATTACTTAACCATTAGGTAAATGCAAATCAAAACTTCAAGGGATATCACCTCACATTTCAGAATGGCTAAAATCAATAAAGCAAAACAACAGGTGTTGGCAAGGATGTGGTGAAGAAGGAACCCTTTTGTACTGTTAGTAGGAATGCAAACTGGTACAGCCATTGTGGAAAACAGTATGGAATTTCCTCAAAGAATTAAAAATACAACTACTCTACTATCCAACAATCACATTACTGGGTATTTACCCAAAGAATGTAAAAACACTAATTTGAAAAGATACATGTACCCACACGTTCATTACAACATTGTTTACAATAGCTAAGATATGGAAGAGACAAACTAAAAAAAACAGACTCTTAACTATAAAGAACAAACTGATGGTTATCAGAGGGGAGGTGGGTGGGGAGATTGATGAAATAGGCGATGGAGACTAAGAGTACACTTATTATGTTCCCTGAGCAATGTATAGAATTACTGAATCACTATATTGTGCACCTTACATTAATATAACACTGTATGTTAACTAACTGGAATTAAAATTAAAACAAAAAAAACTGTTCTAAGCAACATAAAACAAAAACAAAAATATGTTCCTCAAAAATTTTGAAAGAGAAACTATCATATGGTCTGCAATTCCACGTCTGCATATTTATAAAAAAAAATTTAACCACTATCCAGAAAAGATATACACACCTACATGTTCATAGCAGCATTACTAACAATAGCTAAGACCTGGAAACAACTTAAGTGTCCACTGTTAGATGAGTGGATAAAGAAGTTTGTGTATACACACACACAAACACACAAACAGTGGAATATTATTCAGCCATTAAAAAGGAAATCCTGTCATTTACAACTTGGATGGAGCTTTAATACATTACAGTAAGTGAAATAAGCAGAGAAAGACAGATACTGTCTGATCTCACTTCTATGCTGAATCTCAAAAAAAAAAAATCATAGGTAAAGACAGCAAATTAGTGGTTACAGAGTTGGTGGGTGGGGAGCAAAATCAATGAAGGGGTCAAAAGGCACAAACTTCCAGGGGTCAAAAGGCACAAATTAGTCCTGGGGATGTAATGTAGGCATGGTGAGTACAGGTAACAATACTGTACTGTATACTTGAAAGTTATGAAGAGAGTAAATGTTAAAAGTTCTCATCATAAGAAAAAAACAAATTTGTAACTATGTGTGCTGAGGGATGTTAATTAAGCTTACTGAAATAATCATCTTGCAAAATAAGCATATCAAATCACGTTATACATCTAAAACTAATACAATGTTATATGTGATTTATATCTCAGTTAAAAAATAAGTAAAAATGACCTGAAAACACATCAATGATTCCATTAAACTAGACACTGAGATTATCACCTGGCTACCTTGGATCCTCACTGCATGTACACCAACATGTAAAAAAGGAGGGCGCTGTACTGGCTAGAGTGACTATTAAGGAGAAATTGCGTTCCTTTGGTCCAAAAGGAAAAAGAGGGATACGTCTAAAATGCAGGAGATCTTTTGGGTATCTCTTAGAACTGTGCTCTATGATAAATTTTATAATTGATTCCTTCAGTTTTTGCTAAATTATAAAATTTACAGGATTCTGTTGCTTAGAAGAAACTCATTGAAAACATAGGGCCAGACTGTGGTAAGGAAACAAAGCTGTATGTTTCTTAACATTTGAGTTTATTTCTTTTTATATCTTATACATTCTTTCCTATGCAAAGGGGTAAAAGGAAGGATGGATACAGAAATGTGGATGCCATCAGCCTCACTAATGTTTGATAATGTGAGAGTGCATGAACCAGTAAAAGTGTTAACTGAAATTTAAATCTCACAAATAAGCAGAAAATATAATTCCTGGCAGACGATATATATGGTGTTCTTCAAACAGTATTAAGAATAAAATACTTTGCAATTTCAGTAAGTTGAAAACTTACGGTCTAAGACAAGGAACGGGAGCTACTAAGCTATGTGACTTTGGTAAATTACTTTACATCTCTGGATCTTGGTTTCCTCATCTGTAAAATGAGGACACCTGTGTTGGAAATGGAAGCTCAGAGAAAAGTCATTTTTTTCTTGTCCTAAGACAGGTTTTCTCCACCTCAGCAGGACTGACATTCCAGACCAGGCTGAAACGTTGTTGTGGGGCCCTGTTCTGTGTATTTCAAGATGTTTCATAGCGTCCCTGGTCTCTCCCCACCTCTCCCCTCTCATCTGGAGAGACGCCAGGGACACCCCTCCCACAGACAGGAGCCTGAGAAAGCTCCAGACATTGCCAATTGTCCCCTGAGAGGCAAACCCGCCACAGCTGAGAACCAGTGCCTCAACCCTATGGTTCATCCAAAAAGGATTTGAAAGGAGTGTAGTGGCCCTGTTTCATGGAGGTGACTCAAAAAACTGGGGATGGGGAACTTCCAGCTGCGGGTGAGTCGCTGAAGTCCTAATTAAACGGACTATTAAAAGAAGGGACCACAAGGGGCAACCGAAGAGGGCAAGAGGCCGAACCTCCGGCTTTCGAAAATGAAAGAGGCGCACACTATCAGCACTTACTCCGCTTCGCGGACTCGTCCGCTGAGTTATTTCCAGAGAAGCGGAGAGCCGGACGCCGCGGGAAAGCCGAACGCCGCGGGAAAGCCGAGAGGAGGCAGCTGGTGTGCAGTCCCGAGCCGCCGGGAGGCGGAGTCCCCGCGGGGGCCGTCCTCGCCGCGCCCCACGTGCGAGAGCCCGCCTCAGGCCCCGCCCCGGCCCGCCCCTCGCCCCCGGAGCGCCCCCGCCCGCCTGCGCGCGGCCGTGCGTCAGCGGCCCGGGGTGGGGCGGAGGCGTTGGCGCTGCCACGTCCTGGTCGTGGCTCTCGCAGCGGCGGCCGCGACGGCAACCGTGGCTCGGGAGGTGGCGGAGGAGGTGGGGCTGGCGCTGAAGCCGGATCCGGATCCGGTTCTGTGTACCCGGGTGGGTGAGAGTCCGACGGGCCTGGAGAGGAGCGCCGACCGCGAGGCCTCCACGGGTGAGGGAGGCTGGGGGCCGGAGAGCGAGAGCGGGGCGGCGCCGGGTGTCCTGGGGGCCGTCGTGGGCCTGCCTGCACATTTATCAAACAGGTGTGACTGTGCCTGCTGCGCCCAGGGGGAGGCGAGCTAGGCCCGGGTGGGAGGTGGTTTTTCCGGGAGCCGCGCATTTAGCTTGGCCAGGTGGGTGCACATGTGGTTGTAGAGCGCGGTTCCGAGCAAGTTGAGCGGACACGCGCCTGGAGCAGAGAGGTTAGGACTGAGGGCAGGGGTCCAGGCGTCCTGCTGTATAGGGCTACGGGAGCAGGGACTGGGGTCGAAACTAACTCTTGCTCAGCAGGCTTCAGCGTGGAGGATGGAGACAGTTGCTTAGTCTCTGCCGCCATCGGTTTTCAACGGGCACAAATGCCCCGAATCCCCCCTTTTATCCCTTCCTTTCCGAGGTGCACCCCACGGAGGTCGGGAGCCGCTTGAAGACATGCTCCTGCTCCAAAGACCACGTCCTGCACTGACTAATAGGGGCTTTCACTGCGGGAAGGAGGGACGTCCTTTGTCTCTTTTCCCGGGGCTTGTACGCCTAGGCACACTGAGCACTATGATTTCCCTTGTAAGAGGAGCTGATGTCTATGTAAACCCAACTTTTAAAATTCATACAAAATGGAAACGGGCGATTATGGAATTAGTTTTGTTAGGTTATACACTAATGAACAAATCTTAGAATGGGTCTCAAGAAATCATTTAGATCAGTTCTGTTTAGGCAGAATTCGCTGACATTTCTTCAAATTAGAGCTACCTATTTGGTACGATGATGTAAAGATTGGTGTTTATTGAGTATTGTATTTTAGAGTTCAAGATGGGAAAACAAGATCGGATTCTAGTCCCAGTTCACTGGTTTGCTGTATTACCTTGGGGCTCCACATACTCGTTTCCTAATCGGTAGTCTGGGAATAATGCCAGATTATAGGGATCAAAACGATCAGAAAATAGTTTTTAAAATTTTCAAGTGACCTATAATTGTATAACTTAATAATAATATGGCCAGGCCTGTTAAAATCCTCAGCGAATAAGATATTCTTTAGATTAAAAATTTAATCGAATTATTGAAATTGTTATGAAATTTATGTAGACAAACACTAAAGTCTCAAACAGCAAACTTGCCCCCATTCATGTACTGAAGTAATGTTGTGATGGCCCCGTGGCTCTTGAAATATGCTAAGCACCTACACTTGGCCTTGGATCATGCTTTTTTTTTTTTTAATTTTTAAAAGATTTTATTTATTTATTTGACAGAGATCACAAGTAGCAGAGAGGCAGGCAGAGAGAGAGGAAGGGAAGCAGGCTCCCTGCTGAGCAGAGAGCCGGATATGATGCGATATGATGCTGGGCTGGATCCCAGGACCCTGAGATCATGACCTGAGCCACCCAGGCGCCCCGTGCTTTTAAATTTTTTATATCAACTTTAAAGATCTTCATTCCCAGTGTCTGTTATTACTTGTTGCTCTCAGTTGCTTGTTTCTAGCAGCACCTCCTCGCAAATACACTTTGTATTTTAGTATGCTGTAGAAGCTGTAGAAGTGTGCTGTAGAAGCTACAATGAAAGGTCTACCATTATTATCCCCATTTTACAGACCAGGAACTGTGCCTGCTTCCTGGTCTGTAAAATGGGGATAATAATGGTAGACCTTTCATTGTATTTTTATAAGTTAACAAATACAAAGCACTCCATAAATTTTAGCCACTATTTATTTTTATGATCATTCATGGAATAGGACCATCTTGATAAAAGCATAGGAAAATATTAGTATTTACTGTTTAAAATTCACTAGCTTCTTCAAATTGTTGAAATTGTGTCCAAAGAATAGTCAACTGAATGAAAACCTGATGAGCCTAGTAAAAATGAGTTTGGTGTATGGTTTTTGTGATCTCACTTGTGGCAATCTGGGAATCTTTCTTCTTTTGAATTTTCTGAAATATGGCCTTTAAGTCAGTCTTACACCATTTGTTACTGATTCACTAGGAATTTATTGGGCTGTTAGGCATATATGGACCTTGTAAATGCATGCTAACTTGGCAATTAAATCGGAAAAGTTCTGAAAACTTTTAAGATTTTATTTATTTATTTGACAGAGAGCACAAGCAGGGGAACTGGGAGAGGAAGAAGCAGACTCCCCGCTGATCAGGGAGCACCAAGATCATGGGCTCTGGGATTATGACCTGAACCTAAGGCAGATGCTTAACCAACTGAGCCATCCAAGCGCCCCTAGGGTTTACTTTTGAAAATCAGTCACCCTGATGATAATGACGAGATTCAGCCTCAGACAGCTGCAATTCTATTTACTGAAATTTCCAAGTTTTGCAGTACTGTGGGCACCCTAAGATGCTAAAGTATTTCTTTTGTAAACCAGATTTATCTATTTCATTCCTTTCTAAAATCTTTCAAAATTCGCTATCAAATCACATCCTGTAGGGTTTAACTTTGCCAGCATATTTTATTGGGCACCAGCAGAGTTTTACTAAATGGGGATGGAGTAAGAGAAAGGAAAGTAACTTTAACTATGGCTTTGTTTTGTAAATTAGGTCATAAAAACATTTTAATTTCTGGTTGCCTGGTTAATGGATTCTTATTTCTATTCAGAATGCTTTGTTTATTGTATTTTGATATGGAGGAAATGGAGGGCTATTTGTTGAAAAATTAAGAATTTCAAGGCAGTGGCAGCAGAGAGTAAAACCAACTGTGGGGCCCTGGGTAACTGCAGGGTTCCAGTGCCCTTGAAGCTGGCTCTGTTGCCTGGTTTTGAATCCTAACTCTATTCCTTTTTGGCCCTGTTACCTTGAGCAAATTACTGTGCCTGCTTCCCTGTCTGTAAAATGGGGATAATAATGGTAGACCTTTCATTGTATTTCTATAAGTTAACAAATACAAAGCATTCCATAAATTTTATCACTATTTATTTTTATGATCATTCATGGAATAGGACCATCTTGTTAAAAGCATAGGAAAATATTAGTATTTACTGTTTAAAATTCACTAGTTAAAGGCTTCATAATCCGAATTCTCCTAATTAGAATCCTAATTCTCCTTTCTCTCTTGGAAATTATTAACTGCATTTTGTTTGTTTTCTAGGCTGTATTTTATTGTAAACTTGGGCAGCTTTATAGGAAAAAGTAATCTAGTTAACATGAAATTATTCTAATGTTCACCTAAATTCCCTTTCGAGTTCCTTAAATTTCATGGTTACAACTGTATGTTAAATAAAATGATCATCAAACTGTTTAGTGTGTTGCCCTGAAGAAGTAAATTTTTAACACTCTCTGGCTTCTGTATTTAATATTTATGCTTTACTTTGTTGATAAATATTTAGCCTGTTTATCTGCATACCCAAAAAACAATGTTGTTACAATGATGTTACTCATCTCATCTTTGAGATGAGAGTAAACCCAAAAGCCTCGGGATCCAATTATCAGGAACAAACAGTAAAGTGCATGCATTAAAGTTAACCTGTAAAAAATGTTTCAAGTGGACTGTAAGCTTGTTCACTTTGATATGAATGATTGTTAATCATCAGAATTTATTTCCTTATTAACCTTAGAGCCAGAAATAGTGTTTATGGCATAACACATTTAAGTCCTTTTTGAGGTGGGAAAAAAACCCCTTGGTATTCTACATAATAACTATGATTACTTTTTTTCCTTTCCTATCCAAGAATGTTTCAGTTTAACATAAACATATAACCTGTTGTCCTTTTTGTAGCCCCTGTACCCAGCACAGTACCTGACTCATAAATTAAAGATGAAAAATACTAAAACAAAAATGTATAAACATGAATTTTTAATTAGTTGCTAACTAAAATCTATCTCATTGAGCACTTGCAGTGTGCTAGGCCACTATTAAGTGCTATGTATAATAAATCATTTCATCCTTCTAATAATTTTATCTCCATTTTACAAATGAGGAAACAGATTGTCAGAGCTGACATTAGCCATAATCGCATTTGACATTTGAACACCAGCTTGACGCCAGAGCACATGTTTTTATATGTCTTGGGTTTAAATCCTGGCTGTACTAATTTCGTGATCTTGGGCAGATTACTTACCATGTGTTGCCTGCATTTCCTCATCTGTTAAAATGGAGATAATAATCATCCCTATCCTGTAAGATTGTTGAAGTAAATGAATTAGTAGTGGGTAAAAGTTCTTTGAACAATGCCTGATTCATGGGAAGAGCTGAACAAATGTTAACTTCTATTATTAGACCACGTTACCTTCCCAAAGCCTCTACTACCGTGTAGCATTACCTATAGGGTTGTGTCGGGTTCCACAGGCAGGAGTTGAATCAAGCTTTAAGGAAAAGTTAAGAGAAAAATTGCCTTTAAGCATATTGTGACTTAGGAAATAGGGAACATAACGGGAGTGGGGTTATTGGGAAAATCGTCATTAAATGCACTTTAATTTTTTCCCGTTTCTTTATTTTATGGTAATGTTATGGATATGTATCTTTAAAGTCTTTGTTTCAAAGTTCTAGAAGCAAGTATCAAATAGAATAGTTTCTTTAACTGGGTAAAGAGATAGAAATGGAAGTTAGGGGTTGCTTTACAGTCTCTTAACAGTTAGGGAGATCCTGTTCTAACAACACTGTGTTCCACAGACATGCCGCTGCCCCCATTTTTATGCTTTAGTCTATCCTTATATTTGCTATTTAGTCTACTTTTTATTAGACCACACCTAGTAAGAATCTGCCCATTTCTGAGTGTTCAGAGGAGGACAGTACCATAATTGATCCTTTTATAACAGCATGAAAAACATTGGCTATTCTTAAGCTGCAGATGATAAACTTACATTATAGATTTTTAGAAAATCTGGTGTGAAAACAAAATCCAACAGATACCTTTAATATGAATCTGTCATAGCTAAGACCAAATATTACAATGAATGTAGAGTTAATTTAAGCCTGTTCATCAATTACCTTCCGTTCATGGTTCGTACAAAAAAAAGACAAGAAACATACCCAGTAAGTCTTAGTGGTAAGACCACCAACAAATAATTTTTTAGCCCAATAATAAAATCCAATAATGAAAAGAAAGTGAAAGCTCATGGAAAGTGAGCTATTCACAGTGCTATGCTAACACCAACCCACAGGAAATACGTATTTTTAAGATTTTATTCATTTATTTTAGAGCACGCATGTCAGCATGAGGAGGGTCAGATGAAGGGAGACAATCTCCAGCAGACTCAGCCCAGCGCAGAGCCCAACAGTAGCTCCATCTCACAACCCTTGAGATCATGACCCAAGCAGAAACCATGAGTTGTTTGCTTAAGCACTGAACTACTCAGGTGCCCCAGGAAAAAAGTTTTAAAATACTTGCTAGAAAATGCGGTTTTAAAGTTTAAAACTTATAGTCACTTGTTTACTATCTGATGTTTACCATGAGTTTTCTATTTGTGGTTGTGGCATTTATGTTAGATTCAGGATAGAATAAAATAGCTTGCATATGTGTTAATTTTTATTAAGTAATAGAATTTCTCACTGATCCTAATTCCATATTAAAATGTCTTACCATTTAAAATTCTTATTTTAGACCTTACTGCAAAGATGAAACCTGATGAAACTCCTATGTTTGACCCAAGTTTACTCAAAGAAGTGGACTGGAGCCAGAATACAGCTACATTTTCTCCAGCCATTTCCCCAACACATCCTGGAGAAGGTTTGGTCTTGAGGCCCCTTTGTACTGCTGACTTAAATAGAGGTAGGGACTCCATTTACATATCCTGGTTAGAATTACACAGTTGGTCCTTGACAACATGGGGGTTAGGGCACTGACTTGTGTGCATTTGAAAAATCTGTGTATAAATTTTGATTTGCTAAACACTTAACTAATTGCTTACTTTTGACTGGAAGCCTTGGCAGTAATAGAAACAGTTGATGAACTCATATGTTATAAGTGTTATATAATGTATTCTTAAAGTAAGCTAGAGAAGAGAATGTTACTAAAATCATAAGAAAAACTTATTTATAGTACTAGAAGGTTTTTATTGAAAAAAATCTGTGTATAAGTGGACCCATACAGTTGAAACCTGTGTTATTCAAGGGTCAACTGTAATTGGCATTCTGTTTTTTCCAGAAACATGATGGTGCTAATTTTAAAAAATAAGTTTGACTTCTGAATTATTTATTTGTACTTATTTTTTTTTTAAGATTTTATTTAGAAGTAGGCTCTACACCTAGTGTAGGGATCGAACTCATGACCCTAAGATCAAGTTGCACCCTCCACCAACTGAGCTAGCCAGGTGCCCCATTTGTATTTAATTTTTTTTTTTTTAAAGATTTTATTTATTTATCTGACAGATACAGATCACAAGTAGGCAGAGAGGCAGGCAGAGAGAGAGAGAGGTGGAAGCAGGCTCCCTGCTAAGCAGAGAGCCCGATGTGGGGCTCGATCCCAGGACTCTGGGATCATGACCTGAGCCGAAGGCAGAGGCTTTAACCCACTGAGCTACCCAGGTGCCCCTGTATTTAATTTTTAAAGTCACACAATTCTAATATGTATATATCAGGGCTAAGGCCAGGTATTACTGCGACATATTTCAAATGACTTAAGTACAACAACACTCCTTCCTAATTAAGAATCCAAAAAGACTTTTCATAAAGGTAAAATTATTATCTGTAATGGCTCATAAGGAAAAATCTTCTCTAAGAAGCTGGATGGGGAATGAGGGTGAAGATATATGCCTCGGATAAGTTGCAAAGGTTTTGTTTACATATATTTTATATTTCTTTTTTTAATGTCTAAATTCTCCAAATGATTTCTTTAAATTTAATGAATTTAATAAAAAATCAACTTTCTCATTTTTGTAGTTAAATCAACTTTTTAGTTTTCTTTTTGGTAGGAAATTTAAAGAAACTAATTTGGGTCAAGCTAATTATTGAGTGTGTAGAAATCTAGATTATCAAAGTTCTAAAATGTTTACATTTAATTTAATATTAATGAAATTAATCAGGAATCTTTAAATATTAGTCTCCGTGTTATTTATATTTTATCTTAAAAATATTATCATATTTGGTCATGATAATCTTGCACCAAAGCATGTATTTGGGAAAGTTTGGCATTCCCTGCATCAAATTTAATGCAAATTACATTGAAAAATATACCTGCTGGTTTTATAAATACTGAATCATTAAGGTCTGCACTATTCCAAAAATCTTATGCAGGCAAAAATATTGATAGAACCTATTACTGTTTTATGTAGTGATTATAGAAAGAACAGGTCTCAGTTTAATCTTTTTAAATAATAAAAATTAATTTTAAAATGATCACAGAAAGTTTTGAAAACACAAGTGCCCATAATCCTACCAGCTTCACACACTGCTTCTTTTGATAGGTCTTTTATTTGGTCTTCTAATGATCTGAAATCTGTTTTTCAAAACTAGGTTTTTTTAAGGTACTAGGTCAACTGACAGAGACTGGTGTTGTCAACGCTGAACAATTTATGAGTAAGTACTACACCCTCTTTTCCTGAATGAAAAATAAAGGGAAACATTTTTCATTTGGAGCTATGCTCCAAAGTGTCTGCTTGTGTTTTTTGTTCAAATAGCTGGAAATTACTCCTGTAACAATTAGCTATTATTTAAATGTTTAATGCGACTAACTTGTTCTAGAATCCAATTGTAGTAATTATCCTGTTTTACAAAATACCTTTTTTTTTTCCCAAAGGTTTTATTTATTTAGTTGACAGAGAGAGAGATCATGAGTGGGCAGAGAGGCAGGCAGAGAGAGAGAGAGGAGGAAGCAGGCCCCCTGCTGAGCAGACAGCCTGATGCAGGGCTCGATCCCAGGACCCTGAGACCATGACCCGAGCTGAAGGCAGAGGCTTAACTCACTGAGCCACCCAGGCGCCCCCAAAATACCTGACTTTCAGATAATTTCTGTAGCTAGGTGGCAGCTCTAGAGATTGTTTTATATTGTAGTATTTTTTTATGTGGTTAGGTTATTCATGGAAATTTCATCACCAAATAAAAAAGGGTAAGAAATTACGTTCTAAATTTGTCTATATTGAATTTTAAGATCAACAGGTATCTTCAAATTTATAGTTCAGCCCCCTTTTTTTATACATGAGAAAATGGAAATCCAGAGAGGTCAAATGACTTAAGATCACAGGTAGTAATTGGTAAGGAAAAGATTAGAACCTTCCTGATTCTATCCATTGCTCTAACACTATCCTCCTGTTTTCTATAATTTCATTTTCTTCACTAGGTAATTTTGTTTTGTACTGTATCTGACCCTCCCAAGATGAAAATCACCATTTTCTGATTCTCACTGTTTTCCTTCATTGAATTTATATCTTCTTTCCCCCTCCAGAATCCTATCTAGAACAAGACTATAGAAATAAACAGTATGTGAGAATATTAGGCTGTTTTTATTCCTGAATTCCTCTTTGAATGCATATCAGATTAGATGAGAAACCCATTATTTTGGCAATATGAGTACTAAAAATCAATTTGAGAGGAAAGCATTCTGTCTTTGCTCCTATTTACCATGTGACTTTGAGAAGATTACTTAGAAATGGAGACATTTTTCACCTAATTCACAGGTGCTTTCAAAACAAGCAAAACAGAACTGTTTCTAAAAAAGCAAGTCACGTAGTCATTAAACACTTCAGGACACAAAGAGAAAGCTGAAAACTACTTAATCAAAATATTTTGAAGGTAGAAACTGAAAAATTACAGAATGGAGCCATGTAAACATTCTTACTAAAATTTGCAGTTTTGTTCTATTCAATTATCGAGTGTAAAGGTTAAAGAAATTGACTTAAAGTAAGTTATGAAGATATTAAAAGTCTTCATTAGTCACAGAAGTGGCAACATCTACAATTTATTTGTATTATAAGTACTGTTCATCTGAAATAGCTGTTAATAGTTGTACTTTGCTGGCAGATTTTTAAAATGTATAGACCATATTCCCATTGATGATTTACTGAGGTTTCAACCACTTGGTCATTTCTAATAATACTTTCTTTAGAAACAAAGTATAAATCACCATGATGAAATACCTTCAAATATTCAATAATGAAATAAGCTAATCATAGTATTTTTATGGTACCTACTTAAGTTTAATGTCTACCACATAACACTTTTCCAATTTCCACAGAATCTTTTGAGCACATGAAGAAATCTGGAGATTATTATGTTACAGTTGTGGAAGATGTGACTTTAGGACAAATTGTTGCTACAGCAACTTTGATAATAGAACATAAATTCATCCATTCCTGTGCTAAGGTATGTGTTCACCTTAACACTTATGAATAAAATGAACAGGTGTTTTCTAGCAAAACCAACTTTGAGTTTCCATTAAATCAGTCTTATTTTCTCACTGCATTTCATTGTAAAATGAGAGCTGTATTGCCCTGAAAAAAGCTCTACTTACTAGAAATCACTTAGTAACATTTTCCCATTGTGTTCTGAAGAGGAAGAAAATGTTATTAATAATCTGAATTGTTTGCAAAAAATTGTTCTCCAAAGTGTCAGATGGTATAGTCTTAGAGAAACCAAGTCAGCATCATAAAATTTGTCAGTAATGATTAGAATACCTATGTTATTTAAAAAAGAATAACAATACTTTGTATATAGATTAATACAAATTTTAGCAGTCTCCCAGCAGTTAAAGGGTTCAGAATATTATATAATTGACCCTTGAACAACATGGGAGTTAAGGACGCTGACACCTCCCCCACTTCTTGAAGTCAAAAATCTGCATGTAACTTGACTCCCAAAACTATTAATAGCCTGTTAACTGGAAGCGTTACCAACAACATAAACAGTTGATTAACATGTATTTTGTATGTTATGTATATTATATATGGTATTTTTATAATAAAGCTAGAGAAAAGAAAATGTTATAAGACAAAATACTTCTGTGAAATATGAATTTTGGTGGGTTTTTTTTTTTAACTAGAAATTAATAAATTGTATTTGGATGTTTGAAAGAAACTGCTATTATTCAAGGAATAAGGTGATGTAGTATGAACATGACAAGATTACGTTCTGGATTCTGAAATCTGCTTTAAAACAGTGGGGTGGGAAGATTTAGAATATAGACAAAACAAGATTAGGCCATAAATTGATTCATTGTATTTCCTCTATAGTAAGTAAAAAAGGCTTGCATTTTGGTTTTTGGAGTTTATTTACAAAACATCAGTGAATTATGTCACTTGCTGAATTAGCTAAAAATGCCTAGTCCTTTAAAACATTATATTTTCAGAGAGGAAGAGTAGAAGATGTTGTTGTTAGTGATGAATGCAGAGGAAAGCAGCTTGGCAAACTGTAAGTAGGCAGAAACAAGGTATCCCTGGTTAGATCCTTTTTCTGTTTCCTTTAATAGTGTCTTGCTCAGGTATTTGTTAAAAAATGTTCTCCTATTTGAAGTCCTTTTTAGGTGTCATTAATTAGGCTCATTCTGTAGCTTAAAGTAAATTTAATAAAGAAAATATTTTTACGTTTTATCATGAATTTTAGAAATTGGAAGTATACCGTTTTATTGACTAACATTTTTATTAACTTTTTTTTTTTAAACATATAATGTATTATTTGCTTCAGGGGTACAGGTCTGTGAATCATCAGTCTTAGGCAATTCATAGCACTCACCATAGCACATACCCTCCCCAGTGTCCATAACCCAGCCACCCTATCCTTCCCTCCCCACCACCCAGCAACCCTCCATTTGTTTCCTGAGATTAACAGTCTCTTATGGTCTCCCTCCCCAGTCCCATCTTGTTTCTTTTTTTCCCTCCCTACCGTCCCAAGAACCCCTGCCCTGCCTCTCAAATTCCTCATATCAGAGAGGTCATACGATAATTGTCTTTCTCTGATTGACTTATTTCGCTAAGCATAATACCCATTCTCCTACTAGTAGGAAACAAACTTTTGGCTAAGTCAAGTGATTCATCCCAGTTTCCCAGTCATATTTAGAAACAGGAAGTGTTCTCAGTCTTGTAAGTTTTAGAAACATATACTAAAACATATATGCCTTTCCTGTATAATCCTTATGCATTTATCTAAATCCCTTAAATTTGTTTCATAGGTTTATTGCCTATTTTATAAGCTAGAACTTGCTTCTTAATACCATTTCTGAGTTTTAAAGAACTCACTCAATAAATATTAAGTCCTGCTATGTGCCAGATATTATTCAAGGTATTTGGGATATATCAGTGAACAAAACAGACCAGCTTCTAGAAGTCCACTTGTCATATCTTTTATAATTTCATAACTTCAGCCAAGATGTGCTTTCTTCAAAATGATACTACTTTTCAGTGTATGCAAACATGAGAGAACTCTCCAACCAAACTTCGTAGCTCTTTTCTAGTTTTTTTTCCTAAGGCAGTTAAAATCATATATATATATATATATATATATATATGTACACATATATATATATATATATATATGTACACATATATATATATATATATGTACACATATATATATATATTTTTTTTTTTTAAGATTTAATTTATTTGAGAGAGAGAAAGAGGGAGAAAGCAGGCGGTGGGAGGGAGGAGAAGACTCCCCGCTGAGCAGGGAACCCAAAGTAGGGCTCTATCCCAAGACCCTGAGATGATAACCTGTGCTAAGACAGATGGTTATCACACTGAGCCATCCAGGTGTCCCTAGAATCACATTCTTATACTGGGTTTGGATTTTTTAAGGATTTGAAAAATGTATCTTTTTGCTTTGTTTCTATTTCATACTAATTTATGTGACAATTCTTTCACAAATACTAGCTTTAAAATGATAAAGAACAATGCTATTTACTCATTACATGTGGGAATTTTGACTGTTCCTAAGTATTTTGAACAGATTTAGGAAAAAAATTTTAAATTTTGGCCATATTTTTTATTTTTTTTATTTTTTTTTAAATTTTTTTAAAGATTTTATTTATTTGTCAGAGAGAGAGAGGGAGAGAGAGCAAGCACAGGCAGACAGAATGGCAGGCAGAGGCAGAGGGAGAAGCAGGCTCCCTGACGAGCAAGGAGCTCGATGTGGGACTCGATCCCAGGACGCCAGGATCATGACCTGAGCCGAAGGCAGCTGCTTAACCAACTGAGCCACCCAGGCGTCCCTGGCCATATTTTTTAAAAGATTGACAGTCTTCAGTGTTAACATTAATCTTAAACCTATTTTTAAAGATGGTTTAGGGTGACTTTAGTATATTGTCCTATTTATTAATGGGCTAGAGATTACTAGATAAAGTATATTTTAAACAGTAAAATGCTTTGGGTGAATTAAATGCTTTTCCCCTTACAGTTTTGAATATTTAAATGAATATAGTGAGAAAGGTCATGTTCTAAACTTGTTTCTAACATAAACTTGTTTTATTTATATAATTTTATTCGTTCATATTGAGATACTCAAATGCATTTTTATTAACAAATGCTCTATGCTTCCACCCACCTTTTGAATTTCAGGTTATTATCAACCCTTACTTTGCTAAGCAAGAAACTGAACTGTTATAAGATTACCCTTGAATGTCTACCACAAAATGTTGGTTTCTATAAAAAGTTCGGATATACAGTATCTGAAGAAAACTACATGTGTCGGAGGTTTCTCAAGTAAAAAAGACATTTGTAAAGTAAGAAAGACATTTGTCAAAGGAGCTAATGGAACAAGGCAATACTCTTCCTAGAGTTAAAATACTTTGTTGCTGCAACCCAGTGACCTCCATAAATTCTGGATTGGGGGAAAAAAAAAAAAAAAAAAAACATGGTAATACAACAAATATAATGACATTTAGAAGATTACTTTGGGCTGGTGGGATATACTGTGAGTTTAGATTACAAATGAATATTATAAAGGGGATGATTTTTAACCAAAGGAATATATTTTTAACTTGAATCTTTTCTTGCATTGTATTTTTCTAAAGTTTGGCTTCCTTTCTTTGTAGTTAGAGTATAGGTAGTAAGGAGTTATGTATCTGCTATCTGTACTGCTCATAAAAAAAAAAAAAAGCATACCATGAATAAGGCTGTTATCACACTCATAGAATGAATACTTTTTTCCCATATATCATGTGAAATTGGATAAGATATAACTAAATGTAGTGCAGTCCAACAATTGTTAATCCTATTACTATACTGGTAAACAACTTGGTCAGCCTTTTAAAGTAGAAATGAAAATTATAAAATGTGACGATTCAAAGTAAACTGTGCACATCTAAAAGTTTATATAATTCTTATGCAGATAAGGTACCACCTGTCATATGTGAAGTAATTATTAATTTGTTTAAAATACCTAAGAGCAAATATAAGGTACTTTTTAACAGTAAATTAACAAATCTTGGTGTATTAAGTATTTGGAACGTGATTTCTCATCTTTTCATCGATGTCTGAAGCCTTTCTTCTGAGTAACATTTTTATGAAAAATAAATGACAAAACTGAGTGGAATATTTAAATATGTATCATACAGCAATTGTTACATCCTTAAAATGCTGATGGAAGCTTTTCTATTTACTGTGATTGTCATGGTACTATTCTGGTCACTATCTTGTTTTGATTTTATTTATTTTAATTATTTTTTTAAGTTGAAGAATTCAATATTTTGTTAATGGTTCTAATCTTTTGCATTCCATGTTACATTAAATCTGTTCATACAATGAAGTTTTTTGTTAGAATTTTAATGTCTTTTTCTTCAGTCTTCTGTTGAACTATTAGGTCACATCCTGGTTCGTAAGATTTCAGTTTTGTGTACTCTTTGTAAAATTAACTGGGAAGGTAAAGACCAACCACTTTTTATCCCTCTGATTGACACCCACCTCAATTGGATTTAGGATTTCTCTCCTAGGAGTAAGCTAAAGTAGGCTTTCTAAAATAACAAAAACCCTTCACCAGTAGAGAGTGCACGACCTCCCTGCTTAGGACCTATGCATATGAAGTGATCTTTCCCTAGTGAAAGCAACAAACCTGCTTTTCAGCCAGTTTTGCCTTTGCAGGAGTCCTAAAACCTTAGCATGATAGTAGCTTTATTAGGTATATTCTGGTAATTAAAACCCATGTTAAAAAAAATAAGCCTAATAGAAGGCAAAATTAAATGCTTTATCTTTCTTATTTCTGAACAATTTGAAGTAAAAACAAGGTTGTTATTTAAATAAATCCCTTCAGTGCCCTTAAGGTCTTCTCTTAAATCTTTCCTATAGGAAATAGTCATAAAGTATAGTAATAAAAGTTGTGTCATTGAGCAAAATGGTGATCTATATTTAGCTTTAGTTATTAGCCAGAGTATGTTTAAAATTTTCTAAACCACACTGAGTAAACTTGAGTACAGAAAAAAAGCATAAAAACATTTCATAATACATAAACTATATATTCTCATTTTAAAGCATTATTTGCTTTTGAAAAGGTTGAATGAAGTGACAGTTGTGATTTTTATCATGCTTCACATATTTTGTATATTTATATTTCCCTGACTCTTAAGATGCACATTTTACACTAACATTTTAGAAATCAGGATGCATTTTATGATCAATGGCTCGCCAGTTTATTCAACAATATTTTGCCTTTTAGTGGTATGTAAAATAACAGTGTAGTGATAGCATCTTGGATTTGATGAAAAGTAGTATGTAGGTAGGCTGACAAGGAAGACAGTACTGTAAAAGCAAGAAGTATTTTTTTTTAATGGGCTAGAAGCTGCTCTGTGGATGACCTATATTCCCTTTGCTTCAGACATGAATTCCCTCACTTCCAACTCCAGATCTGTTCAGCTAATCCTTAGAAATATTCTTGAGCTAAAATGCAGACCTTGCCTGGACTACTGACCATTACGTGTGTGTGTGTGACCACAACATATTGGAAGATACCCTTATCATCCAATAAGTGCTTCCCCAAGTCCCATGTTCATTCATCCTTCTTTATCTGAGGTAGTAAAACTGGGTTACTTATACTTAAAAAGACAACAATCTAAAGAAATTCTGAGGCATAAGCAGTATAAATGAGCATTTCAATCTTTTTGAGGTATAATGGCACAACAGTTTTAATACAACCACCAGTCTTCACAAAATAATTTTAATACTTTGTGCCCGGGCTAGCAGCATCTTGCACTGTGACATTCCTATACATACATAAGCATTTTATCCAAGTACAAATGTTAAAAGCAGGGTAACTTAAGCAATTGCCTATACAAAAGTAAATAGACACTATAGGTTATTTTTCTTGAATCATTTTTGCTGCATAGTAAATTGCAATTACATGTCAGTATAATGTTACTGATCTATAGAATACACTTTGAACTGTGAGGTATGGCAACTCCCTATGAGAGAGCTAACATGTAAACCTGAATATTTTGATTTTTTTTTTTTTAGCTGCCATGGATGGGTAAGACAAAAAAATCCAGCATTCAAAGATTCTAGAAACTTTCTAATCAATAAAAATAAAATTAAATCTTTTAGTAATTCTCAGCTATTTCCTATCATTTCCATATTGGAGCATTGTTGAATGGACAAAGATAAAGTAAAAACTGAAGTGAAGCTAAGTTTGTTATGGAAATATGGGTTAAACCAGTTGTTTAAAAAAAAAGTCCGCCAGGTAACTGCTCATTTACTTTACATCAAGTTGAGATCCTGATATATGTATATATATCGAGAAATATATATATATATATATCTCTCTCTCTATATATATCAAGATATATATATATATATATATATATATATACACACACACACACATATATATGCATCCCAACTTTATAATTCAAGATTGCAGTTAAATACTTCTAATTCACTTGAATTACCATGGTAATAAGACAATTAGAAACCTTATATTTTCTTTAAAAGGACATGCTTAACATTTTCTGACATTACTTCTAAACTCAGATGAAGCACAAACTCTGCCCCCCCCAAAACAAATATTCTGCTTTAAAAGTTAAACACTTGAGAATTGGTAGCAGAAGCTATCCCAGTTTAACATTTCCACCACAGAGACAAATAAAGGTAACTGCTATATAAACACCCAATGGATAAGAAATTAACATCAATTAACTAAAATTAGAAAGTAAGAATTCTGTCATTCTAGTTTGAATATTTTCAATATTTGTTTCATACTTTTAAAGTGGGACAGTAAAGAAGTTTTCCTGTTTTGCTGCAATTTCAGCTTAAATTCTTGCCCAGATTACATATTTAAAATTGGGTGCTATATCACTCATACATTATTTAAATGTTTTAGAAAATAAATCATGATTGGTTAAATGTATTATATGTAACTATCAAAAAAACATTCGTAGAAATAAAAGGATTTCAGAAATGGAACCAAATAAGAAGAAAGATTAGAAGAGCTACCAGAACTGGCTGAATATTAGGTGGAAGAATGGATCCAAGGTAAAACAAACTTGGGGTGTTCTTACATGAAAAAAGAATAAACTTCATGCTTCGTCCCCATTAGTACTGTACTCAAGAAGATGATAGTCCCTTTTCCTAGTGTTCAAGAGACAGTCTTTAATATACAGTGCTGGGCAGGCACTTCAGTGACAACATAAAAATTACAGTGGTTAGAAAAAGTGGAAGATTACCAGCTTTAAATTAATAAATGACCAAATCTGTATTTTTGGCCCAACTACTAGAGAGGATATGTGTATTTGAGAAACTAATCTTAAAAATCTTAACTCCCTCATTTTAAAACCTAAATGTACTATAACAAAGATTCTCCTAAGCCGAGTTTCCACCAAATGAAGAAGCATCATAGATACTAGATTGCATCTGGCACTTTGCCAAGTGGATTTTCTGAACACAATGCAAATCTTGACTCTACTAGACTACCACACCAAATGACCTAATTACACAACAGAATACAAGACTACAATGGGATTAATAATAGGCTGTTTTCAGGGCAGTAAAATAGGGGAAGGGAATCAGAAGAGGAATACCATCTGGGTCAACAGGAATTAACTCAATAAAGCAATTTTAATTTCCAATCTCCTGTTACACTGGGTTAAAAAAAAAAGTTCTTAACTGTATTATATTACATTGCAGGGAAAAAAGCAAAGAAGTAACTTCGTGTAATGGGTTACCTTGCATAGTACCTATTGGTACCAAGGGAACGTATGGAAACCATTCCCATCAGTAAAGCACCTCAAGAGAGGACTGAGAAAAGTGAGATATAAACGAGTTTTGTTTGTGCTACCCTAAATCAACTATAAAAAGTTAAAAACACTCCTCTCCTTCCTCGTGGCATACTTAAAATAGCAAAAATGTTTTTCTTAGAACAATCTTTATATGTATAAATAAAAATATGGAGCATTAAGGATCCATAAAATGACTTCGCTAATGCAAATTATGGGGGAAATTTGGATTAACTCAACGTGAAGAATTAAAACACTAATTTTAAATACAGTGAAGTTTACCACAAACCACTTTCCCCAATAAATGCATCTTCAAAGAAAAGCTGCTGAGCCAGAACAACCTCACAGACTCATTAAGACAACATAAAATGAAGTAAATGTTCCATATTTTTAATAATTTACTGAGGTTTCCTTAAACCTCTGTTTTAACTTAGAGTTAATAAGAAAAAGAAATTACAGAAAAATGTTAAAAATGTTGTACTGTTCTACATACTAATTTAAAGGTGTAGATTTATTTTTTTATTGATGCAAGGCACTTTTCTTTTTTGGGCTTCATTTAGAAACAAAGAATGCTACATTGGTTACTCAGAACTATTTTGGACAAAGAAAAAATGGGCTAAACAACTCTAAAAAGAACAAACAACATTTGGCTTTTAAAGAAAAAAGGAAAGTGACTCAAAAGTCTAAAACTCCTAGTTTTTTAGTATTACCAAGCAAAACGTCTTCCTTTGTTCATTAAACTTTTTTTTTCTATAGAATAAACAAATTAGGAAGAGGAATGGAAGCAATACTTGGATCATGTTAAAGTAAGAGTTAGCTAATGTCATGATTCAAAGATTATTAATAAGGTATTTAGTTTAAAAATAATAAAAGGGTAATGAAGCTACTAAATTACACTAAAACAGAAATGTGGCAGATTCCTGCATTTGTTAATGTTTCCGTAAGAGGTTCCATCATAAAAGTGAACTGTAAAATTATTTTTAAAATGTAATATATAGAACACAAAATGAATTAGCAAACTTTAGGAAATTCTCGTTATAAATTACCCAGATTTTATAAACAAATCCCCCCTAACTTGCATTTTGTTTAAAGTAATAACTTTATATCCTACAAATAAATTTCAAGTATGAAAAGTGCATTATTGCAATAATACCTCTTTGCAAGTCCAAAATTCTTGGTTTATAATAAAACTGTAAAGTGTAAAAAAAAAAAAAAAAGAAAAGAAAAGAAAAAAAGAAAAAGAAGAAAGGAGTAAAACCATCAGTGCCATCTATTGCAGAAGTCCAACATCTTCTTAAAATGTTGCTCAACAAGTTGCAGAGAAACACGCCTGGAAGCAACATACAATTAAAAAAAAAAAAAAAAAAAGACTTGTGTTTTTACCATTTTACATTATTATTGTCTCTAGTATTTCCTCCTTCCCAAACAGAAATTCACATCCTCTCTAATGTTGCTCGAGTCAGCCATTCTGTGCAGTCGCCACTTGCATGGTTCCAAAATCATCTTCTTCTTCATGTGTTCTCTTCAAACTGCCTAAAAATTATTGCACAAATATAACATATAATGGGAACTTAAACTCATTTGTTAGAACATTATAGCTAGTAAAACTTCATTTTCATAAAGCGTTACTATGTATATGCACTATGAGAATTCCATGACGGAATTTTTAGTAAAATATTAATAAATCTTTTGTTACAAATTACTAAACAGCTTTTATCTTCATTATGGGATATATTTCCCCTCTTGAGAATTAACTATGTCTTAGGTATTATAAATAACAATCATTCTTAAAACAGTTTGAAAACAGAATTGTTAAGAGAGAGAATTGTACCCATATGTTTGCTTACCAAGTTTTTTAGCTACCATAAACCTATGACAAAATTTAAGAGATTAATTTTGTATTTGTAAAATTTTATTTTGTAGATATAATTATCTTTTTGCTTTCATAGACACTGCTGAAAATATTTCTCCACTGAAGCTGTGGTTTTATGACCAAGAAGTCTAGAGCTGGGAGAAAAGATGGCATGCAGCAGATAAAGAAGAGATTTTATCTACTCGTTACATCACAGTCTGCTAGTACAGAAATTTCTCACATAGAATCAAAGGTATCACTATATGACCAATAGTTACAACAAAAAAATTTGAGTCTCAATGGAGGAAAACGAGGGAACAACTAAACTGGCAAAAGATCTGCCATATTATCTGCCTAACAATGGCACAGCCTTAAAGTTATGCCCGAAAGGTTGTGCTAAATCACGGTAATAATGTTAATTCAGAGAGTGGATTCTAATATGAAACTAACATTAAACTGTTAGATTAATTTTAAAAAGGGGGGGAATATGGTATCAAGACAATGGAATAAAGCAGAAAATAAGCTAGCCATAAAGCTAAATACAGCTATTATGCTGAATTTCAGATGAAATGCTGTACTTACAATCTAAAAGAGGTATGAGACATAAATAACTAATGCAAAGCAGAAAGTGAGGAGGTAAAAGTAAAATTCTCTAGGAGTTTCAAATAACTAGGGATTGGAGGAAGACTGTTAATCATCATTTCTGTTGAAGGCATAACATGTAAAATAAGTTTTTAAGGGTAGATACACTGAATGCTATGCATTCTTAGAGAAAAGACACAAATGAAACCATTAGTTCAGTTTTCTGGAGTGCCTTTATAAAGAGGAACACTGAGAGATACCAAGATCAGAAACACCTTACATACACTATGATGCTCTGTGTTTTCTTCTGTAGGAATTAAACCAATGAAGGATTCTGTACAGGAAAAATACATCAGAACTATCTTTTATGAAAATAAATCTGGCTACAATGTATAGAATAGACCAAGGAAAAGTATGGATAGGAGGTCAATACGGACCTGAAATAGAATGAGATTCCGTAAAAAAGAAAAGAGACAAGTGTAGCAAGGTCTTAGAAAAGGAAGATAGAAGATTTTGAGACCATGCCTGGATCATTAACTTTGAAAATATTCTTTTTGGGGGAAGGGGAAGGGAGTTCTCTGACATAAGGAAGAAAGGGAGAAGGGATTCAAATACAAGGAGAAAAATGGGTAGTTCACATTAGTCACACAACTTAACCTGAAACACACTTTTATTTATTAAACCACTTTTATTTTTATTAAGATCACCTGAGTGTATTTAGAGGCCCTTCTCCAGATCCCTATTATTTTAATCTTTACAGCAGTTATACTAAAGACTTAAACTCAACCAAGTAGAAGTTTGATCTTCCAGCTAACATATTCTATTAGCCAGCTACAGTGCTGTACACACAGCAGAAGCTCAATATAATATACTCATATTCTTTATAAAATTAATTTGCAGTTATCTTGTGTGAAATTCAATAATCTACCCAAAGTTTTCTAAATAATTTAAACTGTTCAGTATAACTTGTAAAGAGCAAAAGGTGCTTTCTACTTCATATCATCATCATTTCTGTCCAACCTTCTCCAAAATGATAAATATCCTTACCTGTGGGTCCAGAATGAACAGATAATGACCTTTCTATCTGGAGTGGTGACATCATCTGTATTGTTAATTTTGCTAGGTAGATGGCTTCATATTCCTGAAAAAGATTTAGTTAACTTGAATGTACATTTAAATTCTGGGGTACCCAAAAGAGTGATTAATGTGTACATTATTGGTATTAGTTTATACTGAAATATCTGGTGCCATACTGTTGTTAAGAGATGCAAGTTTAGGGGTACTTGGGTGGCTCGTTCCATTAAGCAGTGGACTCTTGGTTTTGCCTCAGGTCATGATCTCAGGTTTGTGGGATAGAGCCCCAAATCAGTACAGTCTGCTTGTCCCTCTCCTTCCCCCTCTGCCACTCTTCCCATTCCTCTCAAAATTTTATAAAGAAAAAATTGAAGTTTAAAATTCCTAGCTCTTAAAAAAATAAAATTCCTATCTCATACTTTCACATGTACTGAAGAAACTATAAATCAAATCAGGTTATCAGCTTGAACTAGGGTATCATATACTAAACTGCTAGTCAGGCAGTATCTGTTCTCTGCCACTGGGGTGTTAGCTATATGATCTCTAATTTCTCTGTTAAAACACACACACTCCATCCAACAACCCAAACAGGCATCTCTTAAAATAATTGTAAAAATAAAATGAAATAAAATTCAGTAAAGATTTTATATAGTTGTAAAATATTTTTAAAATGAGAGTACTATAAAGCATCTAATGGATTTAAATATATATTTGGTGTTCTAATTCTTTAAAATTAATAGTCCTCTACTTCCAAAGATGGAAGAATAAAGGGATTTCTGTCCCTCTCCCCTTTCTGAGAAAAAAAATAGAGAACTCCTTATCTGATGAAAGAAGGAAATATCCATTACCCTGAATATGAGAAGAATGAAAATTAGTGATTACAAATTGGTCAGAATAGTGATTACCTTTACAAAAGGAGAAAAAGTGTTGGTGGTTAGGAAGGGGTAACACAAGGGCTTTTGGGACCCTGGCATATGTTCAATTTCTTGACCTGACTGGTGGTGGTTACATGAATGTTTATTTACATTTCATGAATTTTCTATATGTGTATTATATTTCACAATAAAAAAAATTATCTTTAAATGGAACCAGACCAAGGTAGGCACACAAGATGCCTGACTGCAGAAATTAGGCAAAATGGGTACACTTCAAAGTGCTCCAAAATAAGATGGTGGATCTAAGATAAAACTAACAAGCCCTTGCACAGTATTATAGGAACTACAAGTGGGCAGTGTGGGGATGAGCAAGGGCGTATTAAGGGAAATGTGAATGCCCACACATGCCACTTTTACTAGCCGGGTGTATGTATAGTAAGATGGATGAGAAACTGGGTTGTATGTAGCCAAGTATCTGATCTTAGCTAAAAATAAAAACTAAACCAGTAATTCTCAAACCTGGCCATACCTGAGGATTGCCTGAGGGATTTTTTTTTTTTTAAGATTTCACCTATTTATTTGTCAGAGAGAGAGAGAGCGCAAGCAGGCAGAGGGGAGAGAGAAGCAGGCTCCCCCTGCTGAGCCCAATTAACCTACTGAGCCACCCAGGCGTCCCTCGCCTGAGGAATTTTAAAATACACATATGCGTTCAAGTCCCACCCCTAGTGATTGTCATTTAATTGGCTTAGGTTAGGTTCCCCTGGGCAGTTTTTTTTTTTTTCTTTTAAAGACTTCATTTATTTATTTGAGAGAGAGAGTGTGAGAGAGAGAATGAGCATGAGAAGTGGGAGGGTTAGAGGGAGAAGCAGGCTCGACTGGAGCCCAGAACTCCAGGATCATGACCTGAGCTGAAGACAGTTGCTTAACCAACGGAGCCACCCAGGCGTCCTGTCCCCTGGGCAGTTTTAATGTGCATGCTGTTTATCAATACCAACAAGAAAAATGTGTGACCTAAGAGGCTCTGCTTCTTACTCATTGAGTTAAACCACCAGAGAAAAGTGTTGGTGAGAAAGACTTCCAAAACAAGTAGAAAATTAAAGCTATCTGCCTTCCCCAACCACTGTCCAGGTTGTCTCCCACCATTCTATTGTTGGGCAAATAGCTGTTCTAAAAAGAATACTTCCAGGTCCAAGATGACCAATAATCAAAAAGGAACCATTGTAGGTTTTAGCGTAAAGATGTCACAAGGGGAAAAAAGCAACTTTACAATCAAAAGTCATATTAAGAACAGTGTCAAAACTGCACCAAGAAGCAGATGAAAATGATTAATTCTCCATGAAATAATGAACAGGGCATTTCTTTCTTTTTTTTTTTTTTTAAAGATCTTATTTATTGAGAGTAAGAGAGAGAGAGAAGGAGAGTGAGCATGCAGGAGCAGGGGGGAGGGGTAGTGGGAGAAGCTGACTCCCCGCTGAGCTGGGAGCCCCATGTAGGACTCAATCCTAGGACCCTGGGATCATGACCTGAGCCAAAGGCAGATTATTTAACTGACTGTACCACCCAGGTGCCCAATGAGCATGGCATTTCTGAAATGAGTTGAAAGAAATAAAAAGGACTCATGGAAGAAATGTAACCTAACAATGAAAGAGATGACATACCAACTATCAGCTCAATGGGAGAGAAAAAAAATAAAAGCACAGAAATAATGAATAAATATAACAGAATCAAGAGAATAGACCAACTACCCAATCCTGGAATAATATCAATTTTCCCTTTTCTCCTTGAAAAGGTCCAAACTGCAAGTATGCTATACTTCCTATCATTTTAGAAAACAAACAAAAATCCTCCTTAATAACCCTAGTTTCCTCTCTAGCTGTGGTCACTTCTGTTTCCCCCTTCCAAGTGTAATTCCTAGGATTATCTATTCTTGCTGTTTACATTCCTCTCTTCCCATTTTCTCTTGAACTCTGAGCAATTATTTTATCCTCCCCCTTCCATAAAATGTTTGTCAAGGACACCAATGACCTCATGTTCCTAACCTAATGTCAATTCTCAGCCCTTATCTTCTTTAACCTATTATCAGCTTTTGATATAGTGAATCACTCCCCATTCTTTTTTAAGATTTATATATTTATTTTGAAAGAGAGTGGGGGGAAGGAAGTAGGGGGAGAGAAACTCAAGCAGGCTCCCCACTGAATGCAGAGCCTGACATAGGGCTCGACCTTATGACCCATGAGATCATGATCTGAGCCAAAATCAAAAGCCAGGTGTTTAACCAAATGAGCCACCCAGGTGTCCCCATTCCCTCCTTCTTCAAACACTTTCTTCACTTGACTTCCCAAACAAGCCACCCTGATATTTGTTTTCCTATCTCACTGGCCATTCTTTTCAATCTCGTCTACTAATTTCTCATCTCCCCACCCTCTACATGTTGGAGTGCATTAGGATCTGTTTTGAAAATCTCTACCTGTACTCCCCTAGTGATCTTACCTAGTCTCAGGGCTTTTGACAGCATCTATATGCTGATACTCCTTAGATACATGGTTCTTTTCCATGAACTCTGGACTTACATACCTGCCTACTCTCCAACGCCCTCTCAACCTTAAGATGACCAAAACTGAACTCAATTTTACTCCCTTCAAACCTTTTCATGCAGTTTCTTCTATATCTTCCAGAAAGGCTTAAATCCATCCTAATTTCCTCTCTTCACATCCAATCCATCAGCAAATCCTGTCAGCTATACAGTCAAATAAATCCAAAATGTGATCTTTTCTCACCTCTTCCCCTTCTACCATTTTGGTCCAAACTAACATTTTGACTTGTAGAGATTTGGGGTTAAGGGCAGAAGCAAGTTTCCTGTTAGAAAGCAACTGCAATAATGTAAGTCAAAAGAAAATTAAGGAAACAGGTCATGCAGATATTTGGGGAAAAGCATTCTAGGTGTGGGGAAATATGAGCAAGTGCCATGACATGAGAACATGCAAATATTTTCAATGAATTATGAGAAGGTCAGTGTGACTAGAACATACATAGTAAGCAAATGGGATAGTAGATTAGAACTGAGAGGTAAAGAACTACTTTATGTAGAGATTTATAAGCCATTATAAATAAGGCCTCTGGCTTTTAAGTGGAGGAGGAGTAACTCCTTGTAATAAGATTCTGCCTATGGTGCTGAGTATACTGTGTTGAATACAGGATACTGTAAATTTCCTAAGAAATACAGACTTTAAAACACAAACTGATTTGAATAAATGGAATATATTCTTAGGAAGACTAAAAATGTAAAGGTGTCAATTATTTTGAACTGTGAACATAATAAGAACTTAAAAACTATAGGGCTCTTTCCAGCAAAGTTCACACCTAAAAGTAAATGTTAAGAACTTGCCAGGAAAATTCTAGCAAGAATATTAATGAGGGAATCTTGAGTTATGCCACAAATTATTTATATAACAACACAGCATTTAAAATTGTTTGATACAGTTATAGTATTAAGCAGAGCAATGTAACAGAATATAAAGTCCAGAAACAGACCCAACTATAGATCAGAATTTGGTATATAATAAACACGGCATTTTAAATCAGTTGGCTAAAGATAGATTACTTAATATACAAAAAGCTCTTATAAAACAAAGAGAAATAAGACCAACAATCTGATAGAAGAATGGGCAAACCACAGGAGTCGCCACTTTTATCACCATGATGGCAATGATCAGAAAATCTGGTAAAATGCTTTTGGCTATTTTTTTTTTTTTTAAGATTTTATTTATTTATTTGACAGACAAAGATCACAAGTAGGCAGAGAGAGAGAGAGAGGAGGAAGCAGGCTCCCTGCAGAGCAGAGAGCCCGATGTGGGGCTCAATCCCAGGACCCTGGGATCACGACCTGAGCTGAAGGCAGAGGCCTTAACCCACTGAGCCACCCAGGCGCCCCGCTTTTGGCTATTGATACTGAACAGGAACTATTAGGAAACACGTACCCCTTGTTTCCTGGTGGTTTACTTATTTCAGCCTTTTTTAAAAGATTTTATTTATTTATTTGACAAAGAGAGAGAGAAGCAGGGAGCACTTAGCAGGGAGCCTGATGTGGAGCTTGATCCCAGGACTCTGGGATCATGACCTGAGTCGAAGATAGACACTTAATCAACTGAGCCACCCAGGCACCCCTATTTCAGCCTTTTTAAAGACTGTTTGGTAACATTAAATTTCAAATGCCTCTGACCTGGCAATTCCACATTATACATATAATCATACAGGTACATTTGCAGATATAAACAAAGATGTATACGTCTCCCAATATTATTTATAATCAAAGGCTAGAAATAACCTAAAAGATTTATATATATGGAATCATATGAAGTTGTAATGTATACATATTTGTACATATGCATATGAAAAGATTATGCAGTTAGACTTGTATATATATTGCTGAATTTTTTAACATGTATTTTTTATTACTTTTTCAAATACAAAAATAAATGTAAAAAGACAATGTTTTTACAGTTGAGCCAGAAGGCAGACACTTAACCAACTGGCACCCAGAGGCCCCTGAGACAATCCACGACATAAAGGACATTCTTCAATTTTTGATTTTCCTTCTTGGGAAAAAATAAACTAGTTTAATCAGATATTTCACAGGTTTATCTTACTGTCTTTTGAGTATATCTTCTGCACCACAAAAGTTGATACATGGATGGATGGATGGGGTGTCTAGATGGTTCAGTTGGTTAAGCATCTGCTTTTGGTTCAGGTCATAATCTTGGAGTCCTGGGATTGAGTCCTGAATTAGGCTCCCTGCTCAGCAGGGAGTCTGCTTCTCCCACTACCCCTCCCCACTGCTTGTGCTCTCTCTCACTCTTGCTCTCTCCCAAATAAATAAAAATCTTAAAATCTGAAACAGTAAATATAAAACATATAAAATAGCATATGATTATATGTGTGTAATCAAAAAAGAAAAAATTGAAGAAATTTCTATCATTTATTTTTTCATTTTTAATTAATATATAATGTATTACTGGTTTAAGAGGTAGAGGTTAGTGATTCATCAATCTTCTATAAAATACCCAGTGCTCATTACATCACATGCCCTCCTTAATGTCCACCACCCATTTACCCCATTGCCTCCACCCCAACCCCTGCAAACCTCAATTTGTTTCCTACGATTAAGAGTCTCTTATGGTTTGTCTCCCTCTGATTTCATCTTGTTTTATTTTTCCCCCTTCTTCCCCTATGATCCTGTTTTGTTTCTTAAATTCCACATATCCCTGAGATCAAGATAATTGTCTTTCTCTGATGACTTACTTCACTTAGCATACCATCTAGTTCCAACCACATTGTTGTAAATGGCAAGATTTCAATTTTGATGGCTGCATAATATTCCATTTGTGTGTGTGTGTGTGTGTGTGTGTGTGTGTGTGTGTACATGTATACACATCTTCTTTATCCATTCATCTGTTGATGTGCATCTGGGCTCTTTCCATAGTCTACTGTGCACACTGCTGCTATAAACACTGGGGTACAGGCGCCCCTTTGGATCCCTATATTTGTATCTTTAGGGTAAATACCCAGTAGTGCAATTGCTGGATCAACTTTTGAGGAACCTCCAGACTGTTTTCCAGAGAGGTTTCACCAGCTTACATTCCCACCAACAGTGTAGGAGGGTTCCCCTTTCTCCATATCCTCACCAACATCTGTCATTTCCTGACTCGGTGATTTTAGCCATTCTGACTGGTGTGTGGTAATATCTCATTGTAGTTTTGGTTTGTACTTCCCTGCTGCTGAGTGATATTCAGCATTTTTTCATGTCTGTTGGCCATTTGGATGTCTTCTTTGGAGAAATGTCTGTTCATGTCTTCTGCCCATTTCTTAATTGGATTATTTGTTCTTTGGGTTATTATTTGAGTCTGAGTTCTTTAAAAATATATATATTATTTATTTATTTGACAGAGAGAGACACAGAGAGAGAAGGACACAAGCATGGGGGAGTGGGAGAGGGAGAAGCAGGCTTCCCACTGAGAAGGGAGCCTGATGTGGGCCTCAATCCCAGGACCCTGGGGATCACAACCCTAGCTGAAGGCAGATGCTCAACGGCCGAGCTTAACAGCTGAGCCACCCAGGTGCCCAAGTTTGATAAGTTCTTTACACATTTTGGATACTAGCCCTTTATCTGATATGTTATTTGCAAATATCTTCTCCCATTCTGTCAGCTGTCTTTGGTTTTGTCAATTGTTTCCTTTGCCGTGCAAAAGCTTTTCATCTTCAAGTCCCAATAGTTCATTTTTGCTTTTGTTTCCCTTGCCTTTGGAGAGTGTCTAGTAATAAGTTGCTGTGGCCAAGGTCAGAGGTTGCTCTCTGTGTTCTCCTCTAGGACTCTTGATGAATTCCTGTCTCACATTGAGGTCTTTCATCCATTTTGAGTCTATTTTTGTGTGTGGTGTAAGAAATGGTCCAGTTTCATTCTTCAGCATATGGCTGTCCAATTTTCCCAACACCATTTTGTTGAACAGACTTTTTTTCCATTGGATATTCTTTCCTGCTTTGTTGAAGATTAGTTGACCACGGACCTGAGGGGCTATTTCTGGATTCTCTATACTGTTCCACTGATCTAGGTGTCTGTTTTTGTTCCAGTACCATACTGTCTTGATGACTACAGCTTTGTAACAGAGGTTGAATTGTGGATGGAATTGTGATGTCACAACATTTGGTTTTCTTTTTCAACATTCTTTTGGCTATTTGGGGTCTTTTCTGGTTCCAAAGAAATTTCAGGATTATATGTTCTAGATCTGTGAAAAAAGTTGATGGTATTTTGATAGGGATTGCACTGAATGTGCAGATTGCTCTAGGTAGCATAGACATTTTAACAGTATTTGTTCTTCCAATCCATGAGCATGGAACATTTTTCCATTTCTTTGTGTCTTCCTCAAGTTTTTTCATGAGTATTCTACAGTTTTGAGTATAGATTCTTTTGCATCTTAGGTTAGATTTATTCCTAGGTATCTCATAGTTTTGGGTGCAATTGCAAGCAGGACTGGACTCAATCCTTAATTTCTTTTTTCTGTCTCATTGTTAGTGTATAGAAATGTAGCTGATTTCAGTGCACTGATTTTATATCCTGCCATGTTGGTGAATTACTATATGAGTTCTAGCAACTTTGCGGTGGAGTTTTTTGGGTTCCTTCCAACCTCTGGCCCCAGAGCCAAAAGCTCGGGGCCCCACTCAATGAGCCCTCAGAGAAAAGCATAAATCATTCCTGTCTCCCTGGTCTCCATCTGTATTCTGTGTTCACCCAGCATGTGACTGAGTGTTTCTATCTCAGACCATGACCTGTTTCCAGCATCCAAACCCTGCAGACTTCTGTGGTGGGCTATCGTGCCTCTGCTCCCAGGAGAGGAAGGGATGTCTTGCCGGTTCTGCAGCTTGCTGGGCCCCTGCTCAAAAAGCACTCACCTAACTGAGCCATGGTTTGTGGCTCACTCTCCCTGACTCTGCCCACCCTGAGGTTTACTTTCCCACATATCCTCTCAGATTCACTTCTCCACACCTCCTACCTTGCAGAAAGTGGTCGCTTTTCTATTTATAGAGTTGTAGCTTTTCTTTTCTTAGATCTCCTGTTGAGTTTGCAGGTGTTCAGAATGATTTGATAGCTATTTAGCTAAATGAAACTAGGGTCTCCTACTCTTCCGCCATCCTGGACTCCTCTAACATCAAATTATTTTATCTTACATTTAACAATGTGCCTTTAACCCCTTTTTCACAGTAATGGCAGCTTTTAAGAAAATACTTAAAAACAAAAAAGAAAATACCTTTAACTAGAAATGTAAACTTGAATAAAAAAATCCTATTAGGAGGTGCTTTAGTTGGCTCAGTTGGAGGATCATGCAAGACTCTTGATCTCAGGATTATGAATTTGAGCCCCATGTCGGGTATAGAGATTACTTAAAATAAGCAAACTTAAAAAATAATAGTAATAATGAAATAAATAAAATTAGATTATGGAAATTTTTAAGTATTTAAGGTAAATTCTATGGGTGCCTGGGTGGCTTACTCAGTTAAGCATCTGCCCTCAGCTCAGGTCATGATTTCAGGGTTCTGGGATCAAGCCTGTGATCAGGATGGGGTGAGCAGGGAGCCTGCTTCTCTCCCTCTCCCCATCCCCCACTCATGCTTTTTCTTGCTATCTCTCTCTCTCAAATAAATAAAATCTTTTAAAAAAATAAATAAATTTTTAAAAATTAAATTCTATTAATTAATTTAATTTTAATTAATTTTAATTAAGTTCTATTAATTAAATTAATTTAATTTTAAATTAATTCTAATTAAATTATGTAGACAAAAGATTTTAATTATCCTCCTTTCTGACTACTTTAAAGAGGAGGAACAAAGAAGTTACCTGAAGTTGATGGACAAATCCAGCATTAGGATTAATGCAAAATCTTCTTTCTTGAACATAAGCAAATGCATCTCTGAAAACAAAAAAAGAAAAGTAAGGTGACGGTATTATTTCATGAATTAATCTCAATTTTTTTAGTATTTACCTAAAATAGGAACTTATCCAAAAATTTACCTAAATAGGAAATCATAATCATAAAACTTGTGCTACAGAGAGGTAACAAGCTGTAGTGGAAAAATCAACAGGATGGGCAGATGAAAGATCACCATCCCTCTATTTAACAGCTTGTGTTCTAAGGGAACTGCTCAACTTTCTAAGCTTTATTTTTCTTGTCCATAAACTGGGGTTTATAATAATTCCTATTTTGGAGGGCTATTATGAAGATGGGTGATTTTAAGTATAAAACACCTTGTATAGCATCTATTGCATAGTACGTGCTCAAAATTTTATCATTGTTTAAGCAAGAAGTGTATCTACTTTCTTGTGTTGTTGTGAGGCTTAAATGAGATAAAGAGCCTGGAATATAGCAAAGCACATAGCAAAGAATAAAAGAATAAAGAATAAAGCCTAGCACATAGCAAAGACCCAATATATGGAAGCTATTTTCACTATTATTACTGTCGAGACACCAAATAATAAAGAGAATATATAAAACAGTCTACCAAGCATTAAATAAGCAAAGCATTTGTATTCAAATAATACTAACAACTGATATTTTAAAGCAAAATTTCCATCAAAATTTAAACTTAAAGGATACCAAACAAACTAAAAAAGCATCTGAAGGTCTAGTCTGTGTCAAGAATATGGATCCAATGCTGAATGCAGCTCAAATGAAGAGAGTTAACAGGGAACATGGTATAATGATGGACAGGTTGACACAGGCATATCATGCAAAGTTTCATGGCCTTGATAAGAATTATTAAGGATCAGGAACTTTTAAGAGCTTTTTGGGGTAAGGTAATTATTTAATCAGATTTATCTTTTGAAAAGATCATTCTAAAAGTAGTGTGGGGAAAAAAAACAGACTGGAAAAGGAAAGAGTACCTGAAACCACTAACCACTGTTAGAGTCCAACAGAGACATGACTGGAGGTGGGATTAAATGATGATGAAGAGAAAGAGAGAGATTCAAGGTATATTTGAAGACATAAAGGAGACAGGATTTGGTAATGGGTAAGTTTGGGAGAAGAGCGTGAAAGACAAGGAGCTGTCAATGATTACAAGACTTCTAACTTGTACAAGATACACTAAAAAAGGAAACACTGTACATTGGCCAGGTTTTTGTTTTGGGGCTCTTTTTTATCTAGGCAGTATGCTTGGAAAAGCTGACTCTGGTTAAGAAAGACTACAATGAATTGTGAATAGAAGCTGAAACAATTTCTAGGTAATTTTTGATCCAACTACTGTTAAAGGAAAATATAATAAATTAGCCTTTTAAGCAAGGGAAGCAATAACATCTATGTCTTAAGAGTTTTTAAACTTGGGTTAAACAATTCTCTAGCAGTAAATAATTAGTTTTCCATAATTATTCCCAACTATAACTCCCTTGGCTTCTTAATAACATTTAGCACTACCTCTGTAAAACCACAAAATATTAGCCTAAGTAGATCTGTTCAAGGTAGATGAGCTATAAAGGTTAAGAGACTAATCATGGAATATAAGAGCCTGCCTAATCAACATGAATAGATGACAAAATCAGGATATCAACTTCAAACTCCCAAACTGTTTCCATTAAGCTTCATTTTACTGAGAATTTAAACTGTGGCTAGGTTTCAGAGTACTTTCTTACCTGTACTTCATTCCAAATGTTTCCATAATGTATGCAATAACAAAGGCAGCACTGAAGAGGGGGAAAAAATTTTAGAAAAAAAAATAGAAAACACAGCTCATTAATTAAATGCTAAAGAAAGAAAGATAATCTCTAACTTCATACCTCCTGGAGATCCCTGCATTTCCATGGACAAGAACTTTTCCTGAAAAACAAGAAATAGTTATTCTGACAAAAAAAAAAAACATCTAATTCAGCAACTAAAATATATTGAAACCATATACTATACCATAGTAAAATAAATCTTCTCTTAAACATTTTATTTTTTACACATACCACACCTGGATATTTATTAGACTTTAAAGCTGACTTAAAAATAAGTTATATAGGGAAATTTAAGAAAGCCTATCCAAATGAAACAAGAAGTTGGGAAAATATAAATTTGGGAATAGTCTATTATATGCAATTGCAACTTTCATATCCTGCATTTAGGACAAATGTTATCTAAAACATTAACTGTAACACATAATCCCCTAAAAATAAATACTGAGTAAGAAAATATTTACCTCCAGTCTGTAAGCTTCCATCAATAAATTCTTTAGTCTGAAGGCAAAAGACAGTGTGTTTTAATAAAACATGTGGACTAATACAAGCATAAATCAGATACACAATATACAGATGGTAAAACAAAATATACTGAAAACGTTTCTTGGTGTGTGTGTGTGTGTGTGTGTGTGTGTGTGTGTGTGTGTATTTTTTTTTTTTTAAGATTTTATTTATTTATTTGGCAGACAGAGATCACAAGCAGGCAGAGAGGTAGGCTTGAAAGTAAGTATTTCAAGGGTACCGAAAGTATAAGTGTCTGAGCAGGTAAAAAATGTGAAGCTTAATGAAGATAAACCCAAAGAAACCAAGTCTGAAGAGACTCTGGATGAGGGTCCACCAAAATATATAAAATCTGTTCTTAAAAAAGGAGATAAAACCCACTTTAAAATGGGTTTAAAAAAGAGATCTAACTCCTTTAAAAAGGAGATAAAACCCTTTCCCAAAAAGGGAGATGTTGTTCACTGCTGGCATAAGGGAACACTACAGGATGGGACTGTTTTTGATACTAATCTTCAAACAAGTTAAAGAAAAAGAAAAATGCCAAGACTTTAAAAGTGTTAAGGTTAGAATAGGCAAAGTTATCAGACGATAGGATGAAGCACTCTTATCTATGAGTAAAGGAGAAAAGTCTCGACTAGAGATTGAGCCAGAATGGGCTTATGGAAAAAAGGACAGCCTGATGCCAAAATTCCACCAAATGCAAAACTAATTTTTGAAGCAGAATTAGTAGATATTGACTGAAATAGCAATGCTTCAGATATGAAGACATCAGCAACAATAAAACACAGCCTTGAAGAAACTTAGGTAACTAATTAGAGCTGGTTACGATTATAAGGGAAGAGTCAAATGGAAAACCCAAGAACTCAGATATTGTTTACCCAATCCCCAACTTTTAATGTAGATAATCCATTATAATTCCCTAAAGTTTGAAATATTTTACTACAGCTATGTAAAATATGTTAAGGAGAAATGGCTTTCCTTTTACCTCATGTTATAAACTAAAAGGCTCAGTAAAAACATTCAGTGTCTTGCATTAAAACAAATAATAATAGGGACGCCTGGGTGGCTCAGTTGGTTAAGCGGCTGCCTTCGGCTCAGGTCATGATCATCCTGGGATCGAGTCCCGCATCGGGCTCCTTGCTCGGCGGGGAAGCCTGCTTCTCCCTCTGCCTCTGCCTGCCATTCTGTCTGCCTGTGCTCGTTCTCTCTCCCTCTCTCTTTCTGACAAATAAATAAAATTAAAAAAAATAATAATAATAATAATAGGGGCGCCTGGGTGGCTCAGCAGGTTAAAGCTTCTGCCTTTGGCCAGGTCATGATCCCAGGCTCCTGGGATGGAGCCCCGCATCGGACTCTCTGCTCAGCAGGGAGCCTGCTGCCTCCTCTCTCTTTGCCTCCTTTTCTGCCTACTTGTCATCCCTCTCTCTGTCAAATAAATAAAATCTTTAATAAATAAATAAATAAATAAATATTCTTTAATATATAATCCCACAATTTTCAGTCATAACAAAGTAAAAGTAGCATAAGAAGGAATTCGTTTCATTATTTAGTTTTAGAACCATAATTAAGTCAAATCATAAAATTTAAGTGATATTAAAGCATTTGATACTACTTACCATGGGAAAATAACGTATTATATTTTCAACTGGATTATCTGCAATATCCAGGACTAAATACCTGAAAATAGAATATTTTGTGATAAGCACACCTGCACATAAAACTCTGTATAAAAAACTTCAAAATTTCTCGACAACTATGAAAATAATGGAAAACAACTTTCAAAGTATCATATTCCCAAGAACTGGGTCACAGATTTTATATTGTTTAAATACACAGCATTTAAAGCCTTAAATAATAAATTAATATTTCTGATATTTTTGTATAAAAAAAATCTATCTCATTAAAACTGAAAAAAATCACATGAACGAAGAATACTTTCCTCTAAATCATAATGGACCTAGAATATGGAGAAAAAGTATCTGTATTCTTTATTGTTATTCTCTTTCTACTAACTTCCCCATGGACTAGAAGATTCTTCTTTGAGTGGCCCTCTGACCCCTCCTCACAATGCTACAGAGGACATTTCAGAGGAAGCCCAAAGTCTGAAAGAGAAGAAGGTAATCAAAATAGAAGTTTAATGGAGCAATGAGTCAAACATTCATTGCCTGAACTAACCTTCAGTAGAGGAAAATCAACCAAGAGACCACCTGTCCTATACAATTTTACACTCTGGAAAACACAGATAAGACATTATTAATATGCCAGGCTTATTTTATTTTGTGAAAACCTTCCCTTTCTAACCGATCCTAGACCACCTATTAATACAACTATAGTAATTACGTCACAAATTTTTTTAAAAGTCAATATTGCCTTAAAAATACAGTTCTTTAGTGATCACTTAAAGTAGTAAAGTGATCATTTAGGTGGTAACAACTTCAATGAATTCAGAGTTTATCACAGAGAAGCTGAATCAGTATCCAAGGATAATCCAATGTAAAAACCAAAAGGAATCAGACAATGACTGTATCCAAAAGTGATTGTGTAGACTGAACTATTACATAAAACACTGCTTCAGGGGAAAAAAAAAAAAGGTAATTCAGAGTTAATCTAAAATATTATACTGCATGTCATTTTGAATGTTAAAAACTATTAGCAGTCAGGGTGCCTGAGTGGCTCAGTTGGTTTAGCACATGACTCTTGATCTTAGCTCAGATCTTGATCTCAGGTTGAGTTCGAGCCCTGAATTGGGCTCCATGCTGGGTGTGGAGTGTACTTTTAAAAACAAAACAAAACAAAAAGGAACCCCCACCCCCAAAAAACAAAAACTATTAGCATAGGGGCACCTGGTTGGCTCAATCCACAGAGCCGCAGCTCTTGATCTCAGGGTTCTGAGTCTGAGCCCCACACTGGGTATAGAGATTACTTAAAAATAAAATCTTTAAAAAACAAAACCAAAACTAAATCTATTAGCAGAACTATCAATCTATAAGCCAATATTCCAAATCTAAGGAGAAAGGATTATTCCATTAGGATAAAGAAGCTGTACCCAGGACAGTTTGGTACAAAAAACAAAATCTCTAGACAAATTAGAAATGTATATTTGGAGTATATTTTTTATGCTTGGCCAGTAAAATAGAATAAATCCTATTGAAGCACAAATTTTTAAAGGACTTTTTTTAAGTTTTCTAAATATATGTGCATGTATTGTGCAGTGGTTTAAGAAATGACCTCAGACACTTTGCAATTATAGATTGAATTGTATAATTCAATTGTATAATAAAACTGGACATGCTCCTTGAAAAAAAAAATTAGAAATGTATAATATGGCATTTTAAAATATCGTGGCATTTTCTTTAATATAGGGAAGTCTATTTGTGTGTAGACATAATACACATACATATAATAAAGATTTAGAAGGAATATGCCAAAATGTTAACTAAAGTGTTTCCTCTGGGTTGTGGTATTATGGATGATTTTATATTCTTCTTGGCATTATTCTGTATTTTCCAAAGTATCTATAAAGAACAAGGATTTTTTTTCCAAGATTTTATTTATTTGAGAAAGAGAGAGAGAAAGAGAGAAGCAGCAGTGGGGAAAGGAAGAGGGAGAGGGAGAAGCAGACTCCCTGCTGAGCAGAGAACCCAATGCGGGGCTTGATCATGGGACCCTGGAATCATGACATGAACCCAAGACAGATGCTTAACTGACTGAGCCAGGCACCCCAAGACCAATGATTTCTTTTCTAATTAGAAAAACATTCAATCTGGGATGCCTGGGTGGCTCAGTCGGTTACACGGCTGCCTTCAGCTCAGGTTATGATCCCAGCGTCCTGGGATTGAGTCCCACATCGGGCTCCTTGCTTAGCGGGGAGCCTGCTTCTCCCTCTGCCTCTGCCTGCCACTCTGCCTGCCTGTACTCTCTCTATCTCTCTGACAAATAAATAAATAAAATCTTAAAAAAAAAAAAAAAAGAAAAACATTCAATCTATTTCATTTTAGAATACAGACATTCCTTTTTTTTTTTTTTAAACATTTTAAAATTTTATTTATTTGACAGAGAGAGATCACAAGTAGGCAGAGAGGCAGGCAGACAGAGAGGAGGAAGCAGGCTCTTCACGGAGCAGAGAGCCCGATGCGGGGCTCGATCCCAGGACTCTGGGACCATGACCCGAGCCGAAGGCAGAGGCTCTAACCCACTGAGCCAACCAGGCGCCCCAAGACACTCCTTTTTTAAAACAAGTTTTTATTAACTGAAAAATATGTACACATGGTAAAAAATTCAAACAGTATAAAAATACCTGCAATAAAAAAATAGGTCCCACTAGCATTCCAGACCCTGAATTTCCCATTTCAGAAGCAACCACAGTCAGATTTCTGGTCTTTTAGCCTAGAAAACTTTCTATGCATGTACAAGAATATATGCCTAATATACTGTATATATTTTTAAACACAAATGAGAGTATACACTTGGCTATTTACCTTGCTTTTATAATTTAATAAATCTTAGTGATTATTCCAAATCAACCCACTTAGAAATATTTCATTCTTTTTCATGGTTACAGTATTCTATTATACATTTACACAATATACTTTAGAGTGTCTTATACTGATGGACACTCAGGCTGCTTTCATTTTTACAAACAATAAGGCAGTGCATTAAAATAGTTTTAACTACATGCATTTATATACATACAGAATATCTCTAGAATTATATGTAAGGGTTAATAGTAGCTGCCTCCCAGGAGAGAAGCTAGATGGCTGGGTTTAGAAGAAGAAAGAGACTTACTTTATTTATATAGTTTTTCTTTTATTCTTTTCTTGTACCATGTGTAATACATATTCTTTATTTTTAAAATAAAGTTAAAATAACATTAAAAACCATTAAATGCTCAACCACACTCATTATAAGGCAAATTAGAACTATGCAAGACATCATTTTTACTCTAGGAAATTGGGAAAAATTAAAAACGTTTTATAATTCTGTCTTGGAGAGATAAGAAGAAAGAGTCTCATTCACTTCAGAGTAGGAATATAAAATAATACAACTCAATAGAGGGCGATCTGCAACATCCATTAAAATTTTAAATGCTCACGTTCTTTGATCCAACAATTCCACTTGTACAAATTTATCTGACTGATATATTCACACACGGATTAAACAATATATATAGGAACAGCAACTATATTAGCAAAAGATGAAACAATCTAAAAGTCCAATAGGTGACAGGTTGAATAAATTTTAGTATAGCCATACAATGGATTACTATACAAGTTTAAAAAACCAATGCACCTAAGTAATGATATGAAACAATCTTTAAAATATATTAACAATTTTAAAGCCACTGTAAAAAATAAAAGTTTATCTATAGGAATATGCTTATATATATAACATAACCCAAAGAGGATACTCAAAAAGAATAGATGCCTCTAGAGAGGGGAACTGAGCGTCTAAGGCACAGAAATAGGGAAAGTCTTCAGTTATACTGTATATGCTTTTGAATCTTTAAAATTTTGCATTATATGCATTACTAATTTGCAATTTAAAGGAAACTTATTTGTTAGATAATATACTATATGACCATCCTTATAAAACAGATATTAAGGGCAAACTTCTTGGGTCTCTCCCTCTTCAGGAGTTTTGTACTATCACTTTACTTATCACATAAACTTTGCTTTGCACCCCACTGCAAAACAAAAACAAAAACCACAAACACCCACACACAAAAACAGATTATGTACAGAAGTCTGCTATAATAAAATCAATCAAAATAAAAACTACATTACGTTTGCTGCCCATAACATTTTAATTAATCACAGCAATAATTCTTACCTAAATAATTGTTGAAAGTTTGGTTTAACAAAGTTTGCTTCAATATTTTGTCTTATGCATATTATATGGGTTATTCCATATTTCTGTAGTATAGGTAGCTATAAAAAATGAGACAGGGAGAGAAATAGTTTAAAATACAAAACATCATCTTATTGTAACACAGATGTTTGAAAATATATAAGGACTGAACATTAGAATTAGTATAACCATATCTGAACTTTAAGTACAGGTAATTAAAGCTAATTTTATAATAATATCCCTGAAATGATCAGCAAGGTATTTCAGTGATTCAAGATTAATATATACTACATAACCTCAAAAGGCTAATAGGATTATTTAATGTAATTTTAGAGCTTGCTGAGACCTTAAAGATAATTTATTTCGGAAACAATACTAGATAGTGGTTTAAAGGCATGAGCTTTGGAGTCATGAGAGTCCAAGCTCTATATTCCAGCTCTGCTAATGATGTGAGCTCTGTGGCTCAGTTTTACCATGTGAAAACGGGGAAAATACTAACCTCTTCATTGAGTGGTGTGACAAATTATGTATGTCAGGTGTATGGCGCAATGCCTGGAGCACGTGGCAAGTGTTCAGTAAGTGGCAGTTACTGTATGTAAATTGACAATCTTTATTTTTTAGAAGGGACTACTATAAGGCATAAGCAATTATTGAACATCACTGACACAGTTAAAAGCTATTAGTACCATGGCCCAAATCTCTACACTACACCATGCCTCTCCCAATATACTTTTTCTACTACAAGCCAGAATTAATTTATACAGTTCACAGACTAATAACATTTCAGTTTAAAAATTCTTCTTTTAAGTTAAAACTGGAAACTCCAAATGATATTATACTCTGTGAGGCTTTTTTGGCTCTACATTTAAAGCAATTTAATATGACAATCTTAGATAGATCAAGTTTTTATTTGCAAGTGATTACAGGTTTCAGTGAATATAATATGCTTGATAATGTACACAGCATGTTATATACATATACAACATATGACATATATATATAACATGACATACTAATTTAATAGCTAGAATGTAAATTGCATGAGAACAAGGACTTTGTTCACTGATTCATATACATATGTGTAACAGTACCTTGAATATATTAACTGTTCAATAATTATCTGTTCAATAAATCAAAGAACAAAATCATCCTGTCAAGAGGAATCAGAATTCATAATCTTGGGTTTTCTAGGATACTTTCAGCTTATACTCCTATATATTTAATTCCCACTTTCTGCATTAAATAGTCCATAACAATAATACTAATAATTTGTAAGAGAAATCAAAGAGTAATTTATATTTGTTATGGACTGAATATTTGTGCTTCTCTAAAATTTGTATGTTGAAGCCCTAACCCCCAAGGTGATGGAGGTAGTAGGAGATGGGGCCTTTAGGAGTTAATTAGACAGATTTAGATGAAGTCGTGAAGGCGAAGCCCCATGATGGAATTAGTGCCCTGATAAAAGGAAGAAATATCAGAGCTTCATCCTTCTGCCATGGGAAGATGCAACAGGAACACAGCCATCTCTAAGCCAGGAAGAGGGACCTCACCAAAATCTAACCAAGCTGCACCCTGATCTCAGATTTCCCAGCCTGTACAACTGTGAGAAATAAAGCTGTTGAAACCACTGGTCTATGGTGTTTTATTATAGCAGCCTGAGCTAAAAATGTGAATTTCAAGTTTTAAATGTTAATTTTTGCAGCAACTTTTCCTATGTCTGGCAGAGATTAGATAGAGTTTAATTATCTTATTTCCTGAGAGCATCCTGAGTTAGAAGAAGGGAGGTAAGCATTTGGTAGGATTAATATTTAATCAACGTCCCATATTCACATTTATTAAACCTCCAAAATGTATTTAACATCTATTCTTGTTTATACTTGATCTGTGATACATAAAGTTTTCATATCTACTTTATTAGTGTGAGAAACCACAGAAGATATATGTAACTATGGATAAAAACCTGCTTTAACAAGCTTTAAAGGCATATTAGACTGAGTAAAAAAACAAACCTTAACAAAATAGGACTCAAAAGGAATAGCACACAATACCTTTAACTTTTAATGGGCTTTCATTTACATAAACCAAATTATGACCTAATCTCATACCTACAAACTACAGAAAAACTGCACACAAAGTAACAGTTCAAATGCATTTGAATGCAATAAAAGGTAGACTTAACTAAATGAGTATTAGAAAACGAGTTTATTCCCTAAGGTTTATCTTTATTATTATTTGTTATTGTTATATAAATTTTAGATGATGGTATGAAAAGGAATATGAGCTGTACTATGGTAATTCAGAGTGGGAAATAATCAAATTTTGCCATAGAAACTTCTCCTCAGTCTAATTATTAGACCTTAGTAAAATTGAGGGGGAAGAGTTTTGTTTCTTTTTTTAAAGATTTTATTTATTTATCTGACAAAGAGAGATCACAAGTAGGCAGAGAGGCAGGCGAGGCGGGGCGGGGGGGGGGGGGGGAAGCAGGCTCCCTGCTGAGCAGAGAGCCCAATGCCAGGCTCTATCCCAGGACCCTGAGATCATGACCTGAGTCGAAGGCAGAGGCTTAACTCACTGAGCCACCCAGGTACCCCAAGGGGGAAGAGGTTTTGAGGAGATCTGTAAACAAATACTTGTAGTTTAATGTGACAAATACTATAATAGGTATATTTCTAAAATGCTATAGGAATACAAAAAGCAAATAATCTAAAACCATCTTGAAGGCCAGTATTTTGTGAATACTACATTATTTGATTTTTGTTTATCTTAAGTAAGTTACAGTTAAGTCAACAGTTCTCTATATTTTCCTTAGTACTTTTTATTTTCACCAACACCCCCTTTCCAACCTAGCTGTAGGCCATCAAAACTAGGTTTACTCTTATATATGCCTCAACAGTCAAAAGGGCTTCCAGTTTCAAAGAAATTAATTAAAAAAAAAAACTCCCTATTCATCGAAAACTCATAAATACATTAAATCATTAAAGTTAAAAATTCTACAGTTTTTTTTTTTTTAACAAAACTTACTGTAGGTAGATATCATACACAAGAATATTGACTTCTAAATAGGGTATTGGGGAAAGCATGTGGTATGTTTCACATTATAATTCAAAACCAATTAGTAGCACTGTCCTAATTCACAGGACTGAATCCTCTAGGAAGTGGCAACAGAATTCCTTCATATATTAAAATGAGATTTACCCTGTTAACTGTGTTAACTAAAGAAATCTGTTTCAGTTTGACTACATAGGAGACAGATATACATAGTATAACACTTTACAGCCTGGAGCACCCAGGATTTTACCAATTAAAATAAACGTGCAGGGGCACCTGGGTGGCTCAGTGGGTTAAAACCTCTGCTTTCAGCTCAGGTCGTGATCCCAGGGTCCTGAGATCGAGCCCCGAATCGGGCTCTCCACTCAGCAGGGAGCCTGCTCCCTTCCCCCCCCACCCCCGCCCTGCCTCTCTGCCTACTTGTGATCTCTGTCAAATAAATAAAATCTTTAAAAACAAAACAAAAAAGTGCATACACATGCACACACACACACATTTACCTTTGATAAAGAAAGAGTAACTAAAATGTCAAATATACTTATTTGTGATTTGTGATGACACACTTGACAATCCCTGGTCCAGTAAGATTTAAAAAAAGGTAGGTACTCCAGAGTAACATGCAATATTTATAGACCTTCCCTCAAAACTCTTTACTACTAAAAAAAATTTATTCCAAAAAAGCTGGTTAATAGTCTCCTGATGAACCAAACCCGAAGTTCATACCTTGCTTTTCATAGCAGAAGAATACGGACCTAAAAACAATCCAGGTAAAATTTCCTAGGGGAAAAAAAAAAAGTTGAGATATTTACCATTAACAACTTAAATCTATACAAACTATGTACCATATAAGTGGATTTGTGGAGTATTTTCATAATTGTTATAGTAATTTGCTTTAAGAGTCTCATGCTCTACAGACTGAGCTAGCCAGGCACTGAGTAATTTGCTTTAAAAGCTTGTAATTTAGGGAACATTTCCTAGCCACACAGAGCAAATGACTGGGAAGAGAAATGGATATGTGTTTTATATATCAAATGAGACATTTAAAATTTAAATATAGTTCTGAAAAGTCAGATATCTGGGGGCGCCTGGATGGCTCAGTGGCTTAAGTCTCTGCCTTCGGCTCAGGTCATGATCTTAGGGTCCTGGGATGGAGCCCCGCATCGGGCTCTCTGCATTGGGCTCTCTGCTCGGCAGGGAGCTTGCTTCCTCCTCTCTCTCTCTCTCCCTGCCTCTCTGCCTACTTGTGATCTCTCTCTCTGCCAAATAAATAAATAAAATCTTAAAAAAAAAAAAAGTCAGATATCTGAACTTCTACAGTGCTTTTTATAGAAGCAGTTTGGGTAAAATTATCATATTATGTGACTCTTTTTTTTGAGAAAGGGGAGGGTAGAGAGACAGAGGTGGGAAGGAGAGAGAATCTTAAGCAGGTTCCCTGGCCAGCACAGAGCCTTAGGAGAGGCTCAGTCTCATGACGCTGAGAATCTGACCTGACCCAAAATCAAGAGTCCCAGTGCTTAACTGACTGAGCCATATAGGTGCCCCTATATGACTGTCCTTCATATTAATAAAAATCTCTAATTTTACTTATAGTCTCTACGATAGTTTAGAAATAAAATAGGCATAAAGAAAATTACCCCTTTGGAATTACACAAAACCTTATTCAGCCAAATCAAAAGTAGGACAAGACACAAGATTAGAACTGTTGTTACTTATTGTTAATAAAAGTATTATTGCAAAGTTTAAAAAAGACCAGTATCAAATGTTTGCCTACTGACAAGAGTTTCAACAATTTTAAATAAATACCTTCCAAACACTGGATTAAAATTTATTCTATGTAAATTCAGTATAGAAAGATTTTAGTTGGGCTATATCATATCCTAGATATTAATACAGTGTAATTTTTCAGTTCAGTTCTATGAAAATTGTTACTATTTGTGTAGAGGTCTGATTTCTCCTACCAGCTTCTTGTGGGCAGAAATTACATTTAATCATCTTTGCATTCCCCACAGCACTAAGTAAAATGCCTCATAAGTACTCAGATACTTTTAAAAAGAGAATTTTCACTAATAGAGAAAAGAAATAGATTTTTATAATTCAAGGTACTCCTGGGAACAGGAGACACTGATTGATTCTGGGGTTGGCAGAGTGACTGTAAATGGTAAGAAATGCAAAAGAAAAACAAACTGCTATGAGGGTTAACTATCATTTTATCATTCCATTTGGGGAATATTCCACTCAGGCTTCTGGAGGACTTCATTATGGAAGTTGACTGGAAATCAGACATAAAAAGGAACAATTATTCAAGAGTGATCTGCTTTATAGTCAATTCTTTTGGACTTATCTAAACTAGACATTCAAAGAAAACAGTTTTCAAAAGGAATAAAATATTGTACCCAATTTTTCAGATAAGGAAAAACAAAGTGATTCTTTAAGCATATACACATATTACTATGTCCATGATTCTAATCTAAGGAAGAAAGGCAACAATTCATTTCCCATCTTTTTAAGAACCATGATTAACCTTAAATAACCTTGATTTTTAAAAATACTTAATGATGAACCTACAGACCATGAGCCAACAGGTCTCAAATCCTTTGTGAAATTAGATTATTTAATAATGATAATAGTAATACATGTGGTTTGAATATTATCTTACCTGCATCTCTCGTCTCATAGGGTAGGTCCATTCCTTAACAATGGAAAGAAAACACAAGAATAAAAGTGAATGACAAAAAAAAGTTACCCAATTAAAAGTTAAAGATGTGACATACAAGTGTATGGATTTTTTGAAAAAATACATTGTACTTTAAGAATATTCTATAGAGGGGTGCCTGGGTGGCTCAGTGGGTTAAAGCCTTTGCCTTCGGCTCGGGTCATGATCCCAGGGTACTGGGATCGAGCCCCGTATCAGGCTCTCTGCTCAGCAGGGAGCCTGCTTCCTCCTCTCTCTCTGCCTGCCTCTCTGCCTACTTGTGATCTCTGTCTGTCAAATAAATAAATAAAATATTAAAAAAAAAAAGTCTTTAAAAAAAAAAGAATATTCTATAGATTGTTAGCTTTGCAAACACTTCAAAATTTAAGTTAAAAGAAACAATGATTAAGGGGCAGCCTGGGTGGCTCAGTCGGTTAAGCATCTGCCTTCAGCTCAGGTCATGATCTCAGGATCCTGAGATAGAGCTCCACCTCATGCTCCCTGCTCAGTGGGGAGTCTGCTTTTCCTTCTCCCTCGGCCTCTCTCCCCTGGTTTGTGTACTCTCTCTTTCTCTGAAATAAATAAAATCTTGGGGGGGAAAAAAAAAGCAATGATTAAGGTATTCTTTAAGTAACTATGCTTCCAAAATTACGATTATGTTACTTCGTACAGTGGATGGGATAGCTATTAAAGAAATTTCTCCCCAAAACTGATCCTCCAAATCAGAAATGCCAAAGAGCCTTCTTGTGATTCATGTCAACTTTAACCAACTGGCAGCAGATAGCTAAAACACTGTGTGAGGAAAGACTTAAGAAGAGTACTGTGATCAATGAGCAGTTTATGTAATGGATGAAAGAATGTTAAATCATAGGTATTTGCCATCCCTGATCTAAACCACTAAATGGTTATCAAACAGCCTTTTTCATATCTCACTTGGGCTTGATCTGTCTTTTAGCAGTCTGATTCCCTTTAAAGATACACTTTTTGAAAGTATAGCATTTATTCTCTCTTTGGAATGCAGACCAAAGTAAACAAGTTGGAAAATAAAGCACATGTCAATGCAAAGGACAGAAAACATTTAAAAGGTAAAGGGGCGCCTAGATGACACAATCAGTTAAGCACCTGATTCTTGGTTTCAGCCCCAGCACCTCTGCACTCAGCAGAAATCTGCTTGAAATTTTCTCTCCCTCTCCCTCTGCCCGTCCCACTTGTGTGTGTGTATACCCTCTCTCTTGCTCTCCTCTCTCTAACATTAATAAATGTTAAAAAAAAAAAAAATGGGAAGGGCGCCTGTGCGGCTCAGTGGGTTAGGCCTCTGCCTTCGGCTCAGGTCATGATCTCAGGGTCCTGGGATCGAGCCCCATGTCGGGCTCTCTGCTCCTCAGGGAGCCTGCTTCCTCCTCTCTCTCTCTCTCTGCCTGCCTCTCTGCCTACTTGTGATTTCTGTCAAATAAACCAATAAAATCTTAAAAAAAAAAAATGGGAAAAGAGGAGCACCTTGGTGGCTCAGTCGGTTGAGCACCTCACTCTTGATTTTGGCTTATTTTGGCCCAGGTCATGGTCTCAGGGTCCTGGGATCAAGCCCTACATTAGGCTCCTTGAGAGGTAGCGAGTCTGCTGGAGATTCTCCTCCTCTCCTTTTGCCCCTACCTCCCCAAAATAAATAAATAAATCTTTTCTAAAAAATAAAGAAAAACTTGGAAAAGAAAAAAGCAGTTACAATGAATTGATAAGAAGAATCAAATATAGTACAGATAGTCCTCATTCGTAAACAGACTGCATCCCAAAAGTTTCTAACTTGGTTGCTTACAACTTAGAATTTAAACAGAAATGAGGTTTCTAAAGTTAAAACTGGAAAAGCTTTTTAAAAAATCCTTTATTTTCAGGGGAAAGGAATTAAGGGATACAAACTTCCAGTTATAAAATAAGTCACATGGGGTGCCTGGGTGGCTCAGTTAGTTGGGGAACTGCCTTCGGCTCGGGTCATGGTCCTGGAGTCCCAGGATTGAGTCCCACATTGGGCTCCCAGCTCTGTGGAGCGTCTGCTTCTCCTTCTGATCTTCTCCCCTCTCATGCTCTCTCTCACTGTCTTTCTCTCAAATAAATAAATACAATCTTTAAAAAATAAAAATAAAATAAGTCATGTGGATGAAAAGTATAACATCAGGAATATACCCAATAATTTGGAATAACTTTGTATGGTGACAGAAGTTAACTACACTTATGGTGAGCAATGGGCAATGTACAGAACTGTCCAATCACTATGTAATATACCTGAAACTAATATAACATTATATGTCAATTAGAACTACCCTACAACCCAGCAATTACACTACTATGTATTTATCCAAAGGATACAAAAATAGAGATTGGAAGGGCACATGCACCCCAATGTTTATAGCAGAAATGTCCACAATAGCCAAAATATGGAAAGAGCCCAGACGTCCATCGACAGATGAATGGATAAAGAAATGGCATGTATACATAAGGGAATATTACTCAGCCATCAAAAAGAATGAAATCTTACTATTTGCAGTGATGTGAATGGAACTAGAAAGTATTGTGCTAAGCAAAATAAGTCAGTCAAAGAAAGACAACTACCAAATGACTTCACTCAGATGTGGAATTTAAGAAACAAAACAGAGGAACATAGGGAAAGGGAAGGAAAAATAGAATAAGAAAAACAGAGAGGGAGGCAAACCCTAACAGACTCTTAACTACATGGAACGAACTGCGGATTGATGGGTGGAGGAATAGGGTAACTGGATGACGGGCGTGAAGGAGGCACTTGATGTACTGCACACTGGGTGTTATATGCAACTGATGAATCAACTAAATTCTACCCCTGAAACCAGTAACATACTATACATTAACTAAATTTATTTTAACTCAAAATGTTATTTTAAATGCTTTGTGACTGAAATAATTCACAGAAAATATGTGCCTTGTTAAGCCAATTTCCAGTGAATGCTGGATGCAGACAATTTCTACAACTATATATAGTGACATGCTTAGAAGTACATTTGTGGGGGCACCTGGGTGGCTCAGCTGATTAAGGGTCTGCCTTCAGCTCAGATCATGATTCCAGGGTCCCAGGATCCCTTCTCAGCAGGGAGTCTGCTTCTCCCTCCCCCTCCTCAGGTGCACTTGCTCTCTCACTCACTCACTCTCTCCCTCTCAAATAAATAAAATCTTTAAAAAAAAAAAAAAGTACATCTGCATATCTATTCTTCTAATCTAAACTGAATTTAAGTAAAATTAACAAATAATGAAGGGGTGCTTGCCTCAGTCAGTTAAGTGTCAAACTCTTGTTTGTCTCAGATCATGATCTTGGCGTCGTAAGATCAAGCCCTGTATCAGGTTCTGCGCTCAGTGGAGTCTGCTTTTCTCCCTCTCCCTCTGCCCCTTCTACCTATCCAAAAAAAAAAAAAAAAAAAAATCAAACAAACGCCTTTTCACTTTTAATTTTAGGATTACAGAAAAGTTAAAAATAGTACAAGGAATTCCCTTTACCCTTCACCTAGATTTTCCAAGTCAGAAAAGTATTTTTAACACATAAGGTAGAAATGTTATACCTCTGTAACAGAAATCTAAGCTAGGATGCAATGGGGAATTATTCATATCAGAGGGCTGCAAGCTATCAGAAGGGAGGAGGGGAAAGGGGGAAACGCAGAAAAGGGGGGAAAGAAAGTGTCTGTTTTGTAGAACAAGAAGCTGTGGTTAGGTGTTCCACCAGATACCCTCTTCTGTGAGCCAGTCTGAGCCAGTTTGGAGGTGACATCCTGCAAAGAAGCCCCCCCTGAGTTGCCCTAAAGTTACCTCTGGCTCATTAGAATACTAATATCTCCTCCCAAGGGTGAGATTTTCCAACCATTTTTTTTTTTTTAAGATTTTATTTATTTGACAGACAGAGATCACAAGTAGGCAGAGAGGCAGGCAGAGAGAGAGAGAGAGAGAGAGGAGGAAGCAGGCTCCCTGCTGAGCAGAGAGCCTGATGCGGGGCTCGATCCCAGGACCCCGGGACCATGACCTGAGCCGAAGGCAGAGGCTTTAACCCACTGAGCCACCCAGTTGCCCCCCAACCATTTTTTGAACATACAATGTACACACTAGCATGGTGACATACTAAGCATGAGCAGTTGAAACCAAGTGCCTAGCTAACAAAATGTGTAAGTTCCTTAATGTATCAAGCTCCCTGGCCCTGCTCCCTAGCACACAGAATAAATGTTTCATGGATGAATCCCAAGAGGAGACAGACAGTATTTTGAGAGCCATTTCCCTGTCTCCTTGTGACAAGTAATAAAAACTCTTTGCTTTCTTTTCTTTTCTTTTTTTAGAGAGAGGAGAGAGCAGAGGGAGAGGGAGAGAGAAAAAATCTTAAGCAGGCTCCAAAACCCTGAGATCACCACCTAAGCCGAAATCAAGAGTCAGACACTTCAGTAACTGTGCCACCCAGGTGCCCCAAAACTCTTTGCTTCCTTGGGTTATGTTCAATATAATGCACCTTGAGCAGCAAACCTCTTGAATTTGGCTACAGAAAAGACAGAATAGTACTCCTGCAATATAGTCAGCAATTTTTCTTTTTAATAAAGAAGAGAAACAAAGTACTTTTTTGTCTTTAACAGATCCTGGCAATGTGATATTAGTAGGCTATAAGCCCCAATAAGTTATATCAGGAGAGGACCTGCTGATCTTTCATGGCCTTGTATATCTGTTCTTTTAAAATGGACGTATAAAAGAACACACAATGAAGTGTTAAAATGCCCAAATCTGAATGTAGAGCTCAATAAACTTTCAGAGGCAATACAACCATGTAATCACAACCCAGATCAAGATTTTCGTCATCTCAGGGGTGCCTGGGTGGCTCAGTTGTTAAGCGTCTGCCTTCAGCTCCGGTCATGATCTCAGGGTCCTGGGATCAAGCCCCACATCAGGCTCCTTGCTCAGTGGGGAGCCTGCTTCTCACTCTCCCACTCCCCCAGCTTGTGTTCCCTCTC